GCGAGCCAGCGAGGCGAGACGAGGCGAACAACGAGAGAGCAAGGACGCCCGCTCTGATAGCGGTGCTTGATGATTGCTGATGTTGCATGCAACATCAATCAATCCATTCGATAGAGAACACGACGAGCAAATTCTGCAGCTGCAAACTATGTAGCCTGCTGCAGGGCTTACTGGCTTAGCTGACTAGTGTGGCCTGCACTCTGCAGGTTTGCACCACTATCGCACAGCCCCATGACTGTCGAATCGGGCTGAGCAATTGCCTTCAGGTTCTTACGAATTACGACGACTTTCAGGCCCCAAAGCAAGCCGTCCCTCGACGAGCATGAGGACCAAAGTCCCATCAGCGACCCTTCTTTTCCCTCCGCCCCAAGATCACTGCATTAGTCCCTTCCCAGGGCATCTTTAGCACATCTACTCGTCCCCAGGATATCTCCATCTTAGATAAGTTGATCTATAGTGGTACGCCGGGGCCGTGATTATCTGACCATGGGGCCGGACATGGGGCCGTCCGGGCCGGAATCAGCGAAGGAAGCGAGGCTTGCAGAAGTCCCTTTTGTCCTTCTTCACACCACATAAGCATCCTTCAGGAATCCTTCCGGGCATGGATGACAAAATATGGCGGGGGCAAACAAGGCGTGCCTTTGGGAGCTGGGGCCAGCAGCGTTGACGGCACTGGCAAAAGCAAAAAGAGAAACATGTATTGGATGGGAAGGTAAAAGCAAATATCGACCCCAAAAATCAGACTGAAAATCCTGGAGATCGAGGAACGACAAGCAACCCGACAGAGACTACCGATAAGCAAGCACACAAACACGCACAAAGAAAAATGAGGCAGAGAGAATTTTATCGGTCGATATGAGAAAACAGAGTAAACGAGACAGAAAAGAAAAGAAAAAAAAAAAAAAGGGAAACAGGCCTCAGTGGATGGTAGTTTAGATCAAGCTCCCCTTGATCGTGGGGAGTCAGTCTCTTCCTATCATATGTTTATACATCCAATGTGTCTCATCATCAGCCCATAATAATATGATTGTGGGAGAAGAAGAAACGAGATAGCCCAGGAAAAAAAAGACGAGGCATCCCGCTCACCGCCCTACAGCTCACTAAGCCTCTTCCGTAACCCTCAACGACGCAACTTAACCGAGCCTCTTCCCCGGACTAACTCAATCCTCCGCTCCGTCCCCACACCAGCACTATAAAAACTCCTCCTACCTGTCGATCACCATATTTTTTCTTTTTCCTTTTCTTCCTTCGTGCGGCGACGCAACTATTACATTCACCCGTGTTGCCTGGACATCATTCTTTACCGTGATGTTTTTTCCCCAGGTGTCAGTTGCGTCACAGACGAACGGAATTGCACACCGGTTCTACTTTATTGGTCTTTCTGAATTTTTTCCTACTAGGATGAGACCATTTGGTTTGGGATCGGACATTTCAAATTTTCTCTCTGGCGTTTTGCATGCCCTTTTTGGGAAGCTTCGTCGGCGGGATTATTGCTTGTAAATTGGGTCTTGCGTGCAAGAGACTCGTAGTTTTTGTGTAGAAATTGTGGGATAATTTTGGAGATTATTCTCGGCGATAAGGACGTATGTCTGGATTGTTGCTGGCAGTACATGATATCATTTGCTTAGTGGTGTACATGGTGATCTTGTATGGCCGGTCTCTAGTACAGTACTTCTTCGCGGGACACTGTATGTCCTGTTGTCTGTTGACACACACCATGCAAGTTCTATCTGCGTGCACACTTCAAAAGCCCGCCAGCATGAACATTCCGCCCAAGAAAACCCCGCGGGCATATGCCAAGTACGGAGTACAGTACATAGGTACATACTACACACGCCTCGCTTGGAGCCTCTCTCTCTACTATTTACTTACTCCCCGGGCTCATCGCCAATCTTCTCCAACTTGCCCATTTCCCGCTTCTCGCCGGCTTCGCCGAAGATCCGGATCCGGTCCACGCGCAACTTCTCACTGTCCCCATCGCCGTCCACAAAGAAGATCACCAGCGAGGTGACATTCTGAAACTTGACGAACCGCAGATCCACCGTAGCCGTCCCCGTGTTCGCGTCCCAGCTCTGCGGCTGGATCTCCACCGCCTGCACCGAGTCGATATCGTCCGCCTCGTCGAAGCCCAAGACGTGGGAGCGATTCGTGTACAGCTTGATCGTCTTGGGGCGCATCGGGCGCTCGTCCTCGTCGCCCTCTTTCGGCGGGAGGGATGTGATCTGCAGCGAGTGCACCTTGACGGTGGACTGGAAGGGCACGAACAGCATCAGCTGCTCATCGGTGTCGCTCTCCACCCAGTCCGGACCGGCCGCCTTCTTGCCCTTGCTGTTCAGGGCGGAGGGCTTCGGCCCCTCGAAGAGCGTCCGGGCCGTGCCGTACTCGCTGGCCCGGTTCAACAGCTCCAGTCCCTTGGGGTCGGCTTGGTCTGTGATGTCACTGTAGCCCTTGGGCACCGCGCCTCCGATCCAGTATCCCCCGCTGCTGCCGCTGCCGCTGCTCGGTCCTTCGCCGGACGCGGGTTCGGCTTTGTTGGCCTCCGCCGCGAGTTTACGGACGACGTCGTTGAGCTTCTTCGGGTCGGCGCCGCGGATGGTGGAGGTTGGGCGCCCGCGTTCGAAGACGATGAAGGTGGGCATTCTGTTCACGGGATCGCCGAGATTAGCTTGGGATTCCTTTCCCAAACGGTCATGGGTGGGTAAGCAGAGAAGGGTCATCTTACGCGGTAACGCCATAGGCCTTGGCAATATCTTGCTGGTGGTCAACGTTGATCTTGGTGAATGTGATCCGGTCCTTGCGGGACAGCTGCGTGGCTAGCTGCTCGTACGCGGGGGCGATGGCAGTGCATGGTCCACACCAATCTGCGTAAACTTTTGGAGTAGAAGAAGAAAGTAGACAAGTTAGCTGGTCTTGTTTGTGTGTTTGTAGGGTGGTTTTGTGCAACCGATGTGGGTGTGAGACAGGTCACAGGTGGCAGGGGAAACGAAGGAGGGGGAAAGGCGGGGGAGGGGAGCTGGGACACAGGGAAGACAAGCTCACAGTCGGCTACGACAAAGGTAGACGAGCTCAGTAGAGAGGCAAATTGCTCTTTGGAGGTGATTTGCACGAGTTGTGACATCGTGGCGGTGGGGTTGAACTGAGCTGAGAGGTGTAATCAAGATTTGAAGGAGGAGGAGAAGAGAAGAGAAAAGGATGGGTTGTTGTTAACTGGACGGTTCGTCGTCTCCGCCCCGGACTATCCATTATATGTCATCAACTCCGAGTCGACTCAACCCCGCGGCGGCTTCTGTGACGCACTGTCATTGCGACGATTGCTATGAGTTGGGACGCCTCTTGATCATGAACATCAACCTCGGAAAGGCGCAACTCATTAGTTCATTTCTCATTCACAGCTAGAATCACTGATGTCTACTCCTTTACAGGTAATTGAGTATAATGTGGCCACCAAGCCCACTCTATCCGTCACAAATCTGCTCATGACTGGGCGCTCAATCCCCGAGCTTGGACACCATCGTAATCTCTGTTGGACAACCCTCTCCAGGACATCAGGATGTCATACTTGCAAGCCAAGGACTTCGAGGACGATCGTGAGCGTGTCGAGTCCACCTCGACCTTGAGTGCTCAAGTTGCATTGCCAGAGCACCCACGCTGCTCGAAATGCGGGCTATACTCCGCAACCTCCTCGTCGTACCGGAGCCTCATAAGAGACCAGAAATCGCTTCTCTCTCCGGAAGAGACCAGTTCATGGCAATGCTAGCCGGTGAACCAAGTAAATATGCGAGTGACATCTCACCCTCCAGGGTCAAGAAGACCAGAAAAAGAGCATCACCGTATGCTCACACCCAAGAATTTCCCACCAATATCACCAACACCTCAGGTCCCCTGCTTCTGCACCTCTCCTACTCGCCCCTGCTCATCATCACTGTCATCGTTCTCAACCGCAAACAGGACCTTCATCCACAGACTACAGCCCCGACACCCGACCACAATCTCCCCATTCTCCGCCTCCCGCTCCAAGTCCTCTTCCGTGAGCAGAAACCCCCTCTCATCCCCACAGCGACACCCTCTATACCAAACATCCCCGTCGCCGTCCTCACCCTCCGCGCAGCCCAGATCCTCCAAGTCCACCACTTCCAGCCCCGTGTGAAACAGCACCCCATTGCCCCCGGCCTTTCCCTGCCCCGCGGCAGCCCGCGCGCGATCCAGTCGCAGGGAGCGATCATACTCGGCGCGTAGAGACGGGACGGAGAGAGTCTTGTATGCAGCTGTAATCTCGTCTATCGTGTAGGGTCTCGTCTGTGGCGAGGGGGAGCCGTGGGTGTCGTTCGAGGCCAGAAAACTTGGAGGCGCATCCTGAGCGGGTGTGCTGGCGCTGCCAGCGGCGGCAGCCTTGTCCGGGTGGTGTTTGAGCAGGGCGCGGTGGTATGCGGTTTTGAGTTCTTGCTTCGAGAGGGGCGCAGTCGTAAAGGAGAGGCTGAGGATCTCATAATAGTCAAGAGAGAGGGAACTCGTGGTGAGTGTCATTGTGAATGTCCTTTCCCTCCTTCCAATTCTGTCTCTGTATCCCTGTCTGCTTCGGAAGATAGGTGGGGTCGGTTGGCGAGGGGGATTTCAGTTCAGTGTTACTGTGAGAGACGCTTTCTCCTTTCTTTCTTGCGAGGCGCGTGCAAGAAACAGTTACAGTTATTCGGGTGTCAAAAGACTCTTCTGCAAAACGGGGATCGGATGCCTCGTCGCAAAAAGATGAAAAAAAGATAAGGCGGCGCGGCGAACGGGTCTTGGCCGTTCCGCACATGCGATCTCGGCCGCCCGCCGCTGCCACCGCCGCGGCCACAACTCTCGTGACTTCTGGACATCGCAACTACCATTGTGATAAGAGCCATGCTCTTGCATCTAACATCACTCAGGACGTGGATTACAGAATGAAGCAATTCAGAATTGAACATGCAACTATCGAAGGTAAGTCTCATTCGTCTACAGCCCGTCCCTTGAAACAACTCATCTAGTGGATAAGTCTAGTATTGATGCTCTAGCTATCTTCTACTTCTAACCCACAAGACTCGCCTGTACAATGCCTTTGATGGCAGACAGGCCAAGAACAAAGCCGCACAGAAGGGCCCCGGCCGTCAAACTGCGGACCGTTTACGCATATATCGGATATCAAAATGTCGAAACGAGTCAAGAAACGCAATGCCCCGCGAACAGATTATGCCAAAAGAAACCCAAACACTATTCACACATTCTGCACATGGTCTATGCCTCGAAGGTCTTGAAGACGTAGCGGTCCTCGGCCTTGCTGATGAAAGGGACACCCAGCTCGAGGAGCTTGACGTACACGTCGGTGAACTCCTTGAAGAAGACATCGTTGTCCTTGGCGTAACGCTCGACGTGCTTGCGGAACTCCTTGTCCTTGATCATGGCCAAGTCGGTGGGGAGCATCATCAGAGTCTTGGTGGTCTTGTCGGTGAACTGGACGGGGCCGTTCCACTTCTTCTGCTGCCACTTCTCGTCGAGCAGGAGTTTGAAGAAGTCGTTGGTGAAGACAGTGGGGCTGAAGTCCCAGGGACCATCGAAGCCGGAGCGGTCGGTGTGGGCGCGACCCAGGGCGTGGGCACCGATCAGAGCCACGATCTCCTGATCGTTGAAGCCCATGCGGTAAAAGATGTCACGGACGTGTTTCTGGTCCTTGGAGGCGTCGGGGAGACGGCCGTCGGGAGTGCAGGCGGCGACGTCCCTGTCCTGACGGCCGGGTCTCCAGGGGATGGCAGGGCCACCGCACTCCTGGATGGCGGCAGAACCGGCCAGGGTCCACAGGTCAGAGTAGGTGATCCAGGGGAACTGCTGCTTGATGGGCTCGAGGAAGTCTCTGGCGTGCTTCAGACCGGCGTTAGCACCGTGATCGGACTCAGGAGCGAACCGCATGGTAGCACCGTTGCTACCGCCGGTGCCGGTCTCCTTGTCGTAGGTGCCACTTGCGTGCCAGGCCAGGCGGACAAGGACCTGTCATTATTCCGAGGTTAGTGTCATGTCAAAACAAGACTCTTTGGCCTGAGGGTCAAGACTTACGGGGCCGTAGCTGCCATCATCATAGTCGGTCTCGTCCACCAGCTTCTTGGCAATCGCATCGTACACCTTCTGGTAGTCCTCCTGGGTGGGGACGAAGGCCTTGGAGCTCACGGAAGAATCGCCGCTCTGGAAGAAGAAGAAAGCACCAGCGGCACCAGCAGCAGCAACACCAGCCCACAGGAGGCCGTTAGAGGACTTGCTGGAGCCAGCCTCGGAGGCGTAGCCGCGGCGAGAAGCGGTGCGGAAGCCCTGGGAGGGAAGGGCATAACGAGCGCTGCGAGCAGCGGGTCTGAAAGCCGAGGTAGCAGGGGTCGAGCGAAGGAAGGCCCGAGAGGCCGAACGAGCAGCGGAGGCCATTGTATGAGGAAGAGGTGTGAAACGGGGAGAGTTTATGTTTGGAAGGGTAGGACGAAAGGGTACACACAGTACTCTTGGGGTGAATCGACTACTGAGGAAGGGTGAGACGAGAGGACGGAGGAAGAGGAGGGAAGGGAAGAAGAGATGACAGGTACGAGAAGGAAGAGGAGAAAGGACGAAGACAGGGATACTAATAAGTCTACCAGGCTGCGAATCACTTCCATCGATTTTGCCCGCGACTCCTCCAATAATCCCTGAGGGCACCAATGGCAAGGGCGGATTGGGGACAGCTCTAGCCCCAATCTTTTGAGTAAGCAATAGCCGGTCTTTTGGCTTCCTGTCTCTCTCCGCATTTCCTGCACTTTCTTCTGGAAGACCTGAGTTTTGCCGTGGGATTATCGGACGGAATGATTGCCGCGGCTGTTGAAATTTACGGTTCGTGGCAAGTCCCAGGGGCTCGATCCATGGCTCTTCCCAGGGCTCTTTTCAGGCCCTTGAAAAGTTACTTGCTCTCTTCAATGGATGATGTCCTGGGACATTCTGTGACAATTGTTTATCCAGCGCAATGGCGTTGTCAACCTGGGGAGGGGTAGTCTAACCCTTGTCTGTCTCTCGCGTCGGCGGGATGGGATGGATGATAGATACGATGCGACAATCCGAACGGGGACAAATCCAATCATGAATGGCGAAGCGGGTCCGGCGTGTTCCGATTATAAACTTGCGACTTCTCTTTGGTTCTGTTGTTCATTCTCGGCTCCACCATTTTTCTCCCTCCACTTCCTCCGTCTTACCAAATCGTGCCTGTCCAGAACTCCAGACTTGTCGCCATTACTCATCATCAGCTTACGATATCGAACCGTCTCAAATTTGGCACCTCGCAATCACAAGCCATATTGAACCTTATGCAGAAAGGTTCTTTTTGAAGCCAACGGATGCTTACTATGTGATCTTGCAGGTAGAGTTTGCCCAACGAGAAGAAGCAGTTTTGTGTAACTGCTGGTTTTGCGCACACATGGTACATGGTAAGACGATGGCAAGATTTGGAATCGAGTTCCATCCCAATTCTGCAGAAGCAGAGGGCGGTAATCAGCTCTAATGCTGTGCCCTTGTCAATGAAGGCTTCAGGTACCATTCATCCAGACTTGAGCACAACCAGAACATCAAAACGTAAATTCCGATGCGACAGCACAGCGCAGCATGAGCGAGTGCGCATATGAAGTGCAGTCCTCTTGCTGGCTGAGGCCGAGGTCAACGCCATCAGCACCATGCAAACTACAATTCGAGGATTTACAAGATAGAATGTCCGTCGTAAGAATAGTCCTGCCGTTCGATCAAAGCGAACACCAGGGTGGAGTAGACGCAGCTCTGCTAAAAACTGTTTGGTTTTGATCTTCCACTGAACGAACTAAAAAAAAAGTAATGCATCTTTGCCATTGAAAAGGCTAGATGCGCACTGTGTGGGTTTTGTGTTCGTCTTGTTTCTGCTTGTCTACGAGTCGGCAACAAAATGAATGTCAAAGGGCCCCAACTGCCAACATCATGCAGATTGGGTGACGAGATCCATCTACTGCGGTTGTTCAGATTGAACAATCGTAGCAATGAAGATGGATTTGTATATGAGGCTGATCATGGCTGGCTGTTGGTGTGACAGACTGCCAAAGTGGCCGATTGTTGATGAGAGAGGAAATTAAAGGGAAAACGAAAAAATTAGACGGCTGCCATCACCTGAGAATATATGTTTCGCTTAATATGATCATGTGATACGCTAGTCCTTGGTGGGTAGAATGTTTGTCCGTGCGGGTACTCAGCTCATGGTTGGTGATTTGGAGGGGTTGAAAATACGTACAACAAATTAATTCAGATAAAACTTTGGGAAAGATCTTGATCGCTCATATTACATTTTACTCATGTAACTCCCTTCAACATCTATCCATTCTCTCTGATGATTTTTGGTGGAAGCTTGTGTTCAAAAAAGGTGCCATGTAACTCAAGTTCCTGCGACATATATTTCAAAAGGTATCATAGTCTGGAACATAAAACTAAACGCCGGCGAAGACCTAATCCCAACAATGTACAAAGAAGCACCATGCCTCTCATACTCGATCATCAAGAAGCCAGACACCCCCAAAACCCAAGTCTGGGTTCACTTCTGACGTCGGTAATTGATCTCATCGACTGCAAGCCCAACGAGCTGCCTAATAGGACCACCCCGACGCTTTTTGTACCGGCGCTCCGGCTTCGCACTCTCGTACTCCATACTCGACATGTCCGGCTGCGACTGCGACTCGAGCATCGGCGCATCCTGGGCGTTGGCCTGGAAGGGCTCGAAGGCGGGCCGGACGGACAGCGTGAGCCCGATCCCCAGACACACGAAGACGATCACGATCTCCTCCAGGACCGACATGCACAGCTGGATGGTGACGTTTCCGGAGAGCGAGCTGAACTCCGGCTTCCGGGCAAAGGCCGACAGCAGAGAGTAGAGAATGCGCACGAAGAGTAGAGGGATCGAGATGCCGACGGCCAGGAGCAGGCGGTGCTCGCCTTCTTCGATCTGCTGATAGCGGAGAGAGATGAGGAGCAGCAGGATGCAGAGGCCGACCCATGCGATGAGGTACAGCACCAGGCCGGCTTTGGTCTTGGAGTTGTACAGCCCTTCCGTCGGGCTGGTGCTTTTCGTTTGGCCCACAATGCCCAGGATCATGCCTACGATGGTGAGCAGGCCGGTCACCTTGAACAGGAGCGGGTGTAGAGCGTGGCCGGATTTCCGTTGGATCGAGTCGTTACTGCATTGAGATGAAGGGTTAGCCGCGGTGCGTGCTTGTGGATGTCTGTCGGGGTATACGTACGCTCGAGACAACAGGCCAATGCAGGCCCAGGTCAGAGGCGAGACTCCGATGGATGTGCAGACTGCCCATGCCACGTAGAGATCGACCGATGTAGGATTGCTGATGGTGGCTAGGTAGCAGCAGGAGCCGATGATTCGAGCTAACGAGAAGATCACGAAGAATATCCAGCCCGAGCTTCGTGTGAATCCATGGCGAAAGGCCATCCATAGGGCTGTGAATAAGGTGGGGATGTATATGATTAGTTCGAGGATGGAGATGCCATGGCGATAGTCGATAGCCATGATTGCAGTAGTCGGCTTCACAAGACTTGTCAAGAGAGTATTGAGAGGGATGGTGGATAGAAAGTATGAAGCTTCATACCAGAGGTCAATGAAGGGGAGAAGGTCGCTATTTAATCCCCTCAACTCGGACTATCTCCTGTCCCCATGATGAAGGATTTTAGCCTTACAACCACAAGGCTGTGCAGATACTATGATATCGAGAGTCTCCATCAGGATCGCCGGGGCAGTGTTTGCGACCCTCATAGGCACTCAATCTACGGTTCCAAGCAATTTGAAGTGAAGAATACCGCATCCTTTCAGGGCGGAATTGTCTGAAGCGATAGATTGGGCCAATGGAAAGCTGGGCGACTGGGGTAGTGCTCGCTCTGCATACCTGAAGCGGGTTAGTGAGAGAGCCTGAGGCTGCCACATTGACTTGCCGCAATCCTGGACCGACTCGGACTCCACTCGGGCTCGGGTCTCTCTTACTTGTTCCCGACTTGGCTGCCTTGTCAGCACTATGAGCAAGACTGACTTCTGACAGTTTAGTTTTCTTTCATGCAATGACCATCATTGCAGGCTTCCATGGCCTTTAGAACGTATCACGCGTTTCTGCTCAGAATCATGAACGACTGGTGCCCTTCGGTTAGCCCGTATCCTGCAGGCAGTCTCCTACCAGTCTATTAGTGCATACATTACACTCCAAGCTCGTCAAATATCCGGCTAGCCATGGTCTACCGTGGTAAACCAAGTGGAGGGTGCAACACTTGCCGCGCGAGAAAAGTCAAGGTATGTTCTTGCGGTCAAGGCTGAGCAAGCCATCACTGTCGTTGTTGGAAGCTAGTTTCGGCCCCCACGACTACCAATGCTGATCATGGGGCTTAGTGCGATGAAACAAGACCCGTCTGTCTACGCTGTACTAAAGCTAGGCGTACCTGCGCCGGTTATCGGGATCAACTTTCACTGTGGTTCAAAGACGAAAGCGACGCTACTGTGCAGAAAGTCAAGGCACTGGAGAAGTCGGGCTCGGACGATTCGGCCCCGCCACCAACGGCCGTTGCTGCGATACGACAGGCGGCTGCCCAAGTATATCGCCTGCAGCACCTGACCTTCTCGATCCCCGTCTTCAACTTTGCGCTGGACCACATCTTCCAAGCCACCTGTCTGTTCCTCAAGTCATATTCATGGCTCAATGTCTCATGCCTGGTAGAACAGTCTCAGACGCATGTCCTCTCTATTGGCGAAAAGGCCATGATGACAGGCATCGCGTCGGTGGGTCTTGCTAATCTAGCAAATCTTCACAATTCACATCCCTTCCGAATCTCTTCAAGAAGTGAGTATACGACTGCTTTGCAGTTGACAAATGCTGCTCTCCGTGATCCAGTGGCAGTGAAAGAAGACACCACGCTCACTGCGGTGGCTTGTCTCTCTTTGTATGAAGTGAGTTCTTGGGGATAATTTCCAGAATGAAGTCACTGACTTGATTGGCAAGATTATCTGCTGCGACAAGGAATCATCCTTGCTATCTTGGTATGAGCATGCACGAGGCATCGCCGCCCTACTTGAACTTCGTGGGGAGGAACAGCTCCATCGTGGAACCGGTTTGCAAATGTTCCAAGTCTTGAGAAATGAAGTGGTCAGCTTCTAGATCCGTTCAAGCCAAGTAATAGAGTGCATATGTCTGACTTTCTCATAGCTTATTGGTTGCCTGCAAAAGCGAACACGAATGCCTCCTACACTCATCAGGACTCCACATCGGCCAAATTCCACTGCTCAGAGTTATTGTGCTGATAGGCTGGTGGAGATTGCCGCCGGTCTATGCGATCTCCAATTTCAAATGAGCGAGGGAGCAGTCACTGACAGCGCCAGAATCCTTACGCTCGCCATGAAGCTTGAATCTGATTTAGAGGATTTCAGCAAGGAGCTTTCTGCTGAGTTGCCCTACTTGATCAGCCTGCGAACCAAATCCCAGATCTCTCAAGAGGAGGCGGTAAACGCGGTCAGTCATTACAATGGATATTACCATGTGTACCCGTCCATGTGGGCGTGCAATACTTGGAACAATTACCGGTACATTCGAATTCTCGTCAACAGCTTAATTCTGGCACAGTTACAACAAGTGACGTTCCATCCTGAGCGCAGCCCAGTTACCCCGGGCATAAAGAGTCTTTGCCGTCATGTCCGCGCTCTCTTAAGGCAATTGGCGACGGATATCTGCTGCGCGGTTCCGTACAAATTTGGCCTTGCCCAGGAGGCTGAGAGACAAACACTGGATCCCTTGGTAGCCAAAGCCGGTACTGGGTTCACTCTGCTTTTGCCCCTCTATCTTGCTTCGCTTGTCGATGGAGTGTCGAGCCCTGTCCACGCTTGGGCCATGAGGTGCCTCGGCATCATCGGTCACAAGATGGGCATCCAGACGGCTGTATCCCTTATGACTGTGCTCGAGAGGGAGCAAGGTTGGACGGGCTGGATCGACTTGCTAGATGGTGAATGGGATAAATAGATGTACATGATGAAAGGCCTGCGTGCCTAAGGCATCACAAGACAGCGGAGACTCAATTCACGTGACGCACCGCCGTGTATCATTTAAAAGAGTTTTCCTCCGCGCCGCAGGGAAGAATTTTTTTCTTTTTCTTCTTTACACTTATCATACCTCACGAACGCATAATCAACCTACACTCCTATCCTCCATAGGATGGCAGGTCATATTGGCGTACCAGAATGACGTTTCCAACACCGGGCAAATGTCTTGCTATGGCTTCATCACCGTGCTGGGCTCCTTCGGGAGCCTCGAGTGCGATGGTGATGGGGTCAACTGCTGCTCATACATGCCGACGCAAGATCTCTTAATTGTGTAAACGGAGAAAGAGAGACAATTTCTTTCTCTTCTCGTATTGTAGTTGTGGCCACGCGCGCCCAGGCTGAGGGCCGTTGCAGCAATCCAGAGAGCGTCACTTGTGTGGAAGTCTTGATGCTTCTCGTAAGCGCGGATCAAGCAACCAGGTCACCGAGCCCGTGGATTGGTCTTCAGGGATCATTCGATTAGGTTTCGCAGGCGCAGTTTGTTGATTGTCAGAACTTGGCTCAAGTCCTGAACGTGGGATGTAGTGATTGACGAACGCGTCCGGAGTCGGACCCGAAACTATGTCTTGAGCTTGAGTGAAAAGGAGTCCGTCCTCTGCCCAGACCGCGCATGAATGAAAGTGAACCATGTGCCTGGCAATATATTAGCGACATAAATTGGGGTAATAATGTCAATGGCGCTGAAAATAGAACAATTGTGGCCCGTTCTTTGGAAAACTGGGTCTATTGTCCAGTTGGGGGCTGCTTGCCCCTGACTCTTGACAAAGAAGCAAAGAAGCAAGCAGCAAGCATTGCATGGGTGGATGAATGGATGATGGATGGTCGCATCGGCGGGCGCCGTCTTGAACTCCGGATGCAGGACCGAACGAGGCTGGCTGGCTGCTTATGAAACCTCGAGTAGTTGCAGTCTAGATGCTTTTCAATCGATTGATCAGTCAGTCAGTCAGTCATCATTGAATTGGATTAAGTGACTCCCGTAATCTGCATTGATGATTACGGAAGAGTCGTGAGCAAGCAGTTAGTCGAGGGGACAGAGGACAGACAGAGGAGAGACGAGCGCGACTACGAGGAAATCGAATCCACCATCCAACTTTCCTCCCCACATCTTCATTCATTATTCATCCCTGGCCACTTTCTCTCCTCTCACCTCATCCTTACTCAGTCTATTACCTCCCCTCCCCCACCTCCTCTATCCTTTTTTGCTACTCTATTATCTTTTCCCTCCGTCCATACGGCTCCTCTTCGGCTTCTGTCCTGGATGTTGATTGTGTAAATATGCTTGATCTCGCCGCCTGAGTGTCTTCTTTCTCCCTCCGAATTCCCCGTTCCGGAAGCTCGGCTCGTGCATTCACCTGAGACTTTTATCTCCACGGACCCCCCCTGCAAGCTTGCGACCACAAAACTCTTTTATTCTTGGCTCTCAGACACTTGGAGCCCATCATTCTACTTATACAATAGAGTTCGTCGCCTTTTGAGCATCGTGCGACCATGGTGGGAGGCATTAGCAAGCGGCAGCAATACCGCAATGAGCGGGCATTGCAGGACCTCATCCGGTCGGTTCCTGGCAATGATCGATGCGCTGATTGCCAGGCTATGAATCCCGGTGAGCATCAATACCTACAAATACCCTGTCGCAATGTGATGCTAATGAACCCCTCAAAGGCTGGGCTAGTTGGAACGTACGTACCACGACCGATCTATGCACGGGTTCGAGCCCCCGAATCAGGACACGGCATATTGACTAGATCGGATACAGATAGGCATCTTTCTTTGTATGCGATGCGCGGCCCTACATCGGAAGCTTGGCACGCATATCTCCAAGGTCAAGTCCCTGAGCATGGACTCGTGGACGGACGACCAAGTCGATGTGAGTGATAGCTACCCCACACCAGCTCAAGTGGTCTGGTCTGACTCGTGATGGGTTTGGTGGATGCTAGAATATGAAATCGCACGGCAACAACATCATGAACAAGATCTTCAATCCCAAGAACGTGAAGCCACCGGTCCCGACCGACGTCGATGAGTCCGACTCGTGCATGGAGCGTTTCATCCGGCAGAAGTACCAGCATCGGTCTCTCGACGAGAACAAGCAGAAGCCCCCGAGTCGTCATGACTCGGGTTATGATAGGTCTCCGGAGGGGTCGCCGCCTCCCTTGCCTCCGAAGCCCGCTAGGCCGTTTGGCTTTGGCCTTCGTTCGGCCTCATCCGCAACGAACCTCAACCGTATCTCCAACCGCAGCGCCTCCTCTCCTCAATCGGACAGATTCGATTCACCTTCGCCGGCGCTGGGTGCAAGGAAGGCTTCGGGGGATGCGTCGTTCGACTCGAAATTGGCTACCCTGAGGGATATGGGTTTCACAAATGAGCGTCGCAATGCCATTGCTCTCCGCGAATTGAATGGGAATCTTGATAAGACCATCGAGACGTTGGTGAGGTTGGGAGAGGGCAACGGTTCTGTGGTGCGACCACCTGCTTCTGCTTCTGCTTCAACTCCTAGCGTCGATTCCTCCAAATTCGGCAATCCCTTCGATCAATTAGACTCGAGGCCAGCAGCCCAGCCCAGCAGCAACTTTAACCCCTTCGATGCACAGCCGCAACCGCAACCACCACCACAGCAGCAGCAGCAGCAACAACAGTTGCCTCAGTCGGCCTCTATGCAGCCGCTCGAGCAGTCGTTTCAGGGCCTGCAGGTCGCCCAGCCCTTGTTCCCGCACTCTACAGGAGGCTACCCGTACAGACAGTCCTCCCTTCCTCAGCCTCTTTATCAGCAGGCGCCCTCTGCAGCTTCTACCTTGAATCAGGGTGGATACATCGCATCCCCACAAATAATGGACGGTAGCCACAATCCCTTCTTCCAAACCGGAGCTCAGCCGCAGGCCAGCCTGACCACTCCGGGTGCGAGCCCCAACCCCAACCTTGGTTCAAGCAACCCCTTCTTCGGCCAGGTTCCATCACAACAACCATCCATGCAGGCGCAAAATCAGGCGTCAGCCGGTCCATTTGGTCCTCCGCGACATGCGAACACGATGCCTATCATGTCTGCGACGTCACCATTTGGTCAGCCTTCGCCATTCCAGCAGCAACAGCAACAGCAACAGCTGCAGCAGCAACAGCAACAGCAACAGCTGCAGCCACAACCGCAGCAGCAAGCGCAGCCCCAGCTCCAAGCGCCGCCCACGCAACCTGGACAAAACTCCATGAACCCGTTCCAGATGATGAATGCGCCGCCCACGCCTCAGAGTGCAGGATATCCCGCCCCAGCGCAGTACGGTTACCAGATGCCCGCCCAGCAGCTGTACCCGCAGCACACAGCCCGTGTCGACAAGAACAGCATTCTCGCACTGTATAACCTCTCTCCCCAGCCCCCTACGATCCCCGAACACCCTCAAATCCAGCAGCCCCCGGTGGCTGCCAACCCAGCCCAGCAAGTCCCGATGAACCCAGCACCACCTTCCCACTATCAACAACCCGCACCCGCCCTCCAACAGCCCGGCGCCACCGACCCCCAGGCGACGGGGACACGGAACCCCTTCTTCACCGCCGCTCCAGCGGCCCCTGCTGCACCGTACCAAATGGCCATGCCCCAACCTGCTCCCCCGCCCACGGCAGGTTTCACCATGAACAACCGACCCGCGACGTCAGCAGGCGGGTTTCCTCGCGGCCACATGAGCCAGCAGAGTGTGGACATCAATGGCTTCCAGAGTGGCCGCCACAGCCCGGACGCGTTCGCCAGCCTCAGTGCACGCTACGGCTAGACAGCTAGCTAGCTAGCTCGATTCCGCTTCAGTCTTTCATGTTTTCTCTGCTTATTCTTTTTTTCTTGAGCGTATATATTACATCTTTTCTTTGCCCTAATCGGGGTTTCTTTCTCTTGTTCTTCTTTTGGATGTGTGTACCTGTGTTGCATCATTCATGGCGTTCTTGAGGTGATATAGTACCTGTATGATGACGCTGTCGTTGACAGAGCGGTATATACTTTTGTTCTATTTTTGCTTCTACAAAGTCGGTCAAATTGTTACATAGAGTTGAAAGGGACCAATAAAAGCTCAAAGTCGGAGGTGGTTACTCCGGGCTGGGATTGCAATGTCTGGGACTCTTGTGTTCCCTCTTCGACCCCACAGCAAGTACCGCTCGGGTCGAAGGAGGACGATAGTCATATACTGTACTTTATTGGTCTGCGTTGACCAGTCCAGATTTCTTCTCTAATCTATGTTACCATTCAAGATAGAGCCTGCTATCATCAACCTACCCAGAAAATCACTCAATAGATCAAAGCTTGAGAAAGGAATGAAGAAAAGAAAAGAAAAGAACGCCTCCAGAACATTTCCCAGCCAGCCCGGCACCCAATCATTGATCACAAGCTTCCCTCTCCCAACCTCCCCGCTACTTCCTCACCAGGATAACTGGAAATTGCCTACAAGAACGATCCCAATCCGCTCGAACTGCCACTCGACCCACTGCTACCACCACCGAAGAGCGCGCTCAGCCCGCTAAGCCCAGACAGCCCGGAGGATCCCGAAGAAGCGGCGGATGACTCGGAGCTTCCGCTGCTGGTGCTCGAGCCAGTGGTCCCGGACGACGTGGTGGACGTAGAGGTGGTTCCCAGCTGCGACTCCAACCACTGCGAGGCCTCGCCGGTGTTGGCGATGTACGAGAAGTGCGCGGGAAGGACGAGCAGCGTGCCGTCGCAGACCATGTCGCCGGCGGCGCAGTAGATCTTGACCTTGTCTTTGGGGAAGTTCTGGATCTGGCCATGTTCCTGGGCGTTCCGGGTGTAGCCGAAGAGGACAACGCCCTTGATCTTGTCCTTGACGCTGTCGTCGAGCGCCTTGATGGAGTCGTCCATCACGGCTGTTCCTTGACTATATACATCGGATTTGTCGTTAGTATACACTGCTGGGAGGGGGAGTTCTGGTTGGGTGGTGAAGGAGCGGGCCTACCTATATCCACCGGCCAGGATTTGACTGTTGGGACACTTGGATGCAGCAAGGTTGAAGAGGGACTTGGCTTCGTTGATGGCCGCTGGGGAGGTGTTATCGGGCAGGGCGTTGGACATCAGATCGGCTGTGTAGGCGGGACCGACGCCCTGGCAGAGGACTTGGCCGGCCTTGGCCATCTTGAGGTTGTTGCAAACGGCCGGGCCAGTTGAGATACCCTGTTATTGTTGGTTAGAGTACAGATGGAAGAGATAAAGTGGTGTGGCTTACAAGGAGACCCGGCTCCGTGGATGCGCGCGCAAAGATGAAGATGATGGGCTTGCAAGAGCCATCGCGGAGTTCGTTTCCAGAACTGACTGCAGCATACTTAGCAATGATGCTCGAAGGAAGGTTAAAGCAGCGAGACCATACACTGGCGGGTCTCAAGACCCATTGGGGTGGCTGCTGCAAGGCCCATGAGGCCGAGGAAGAACAATGGAAGCTTCATCGTGGGTAGTTGGGTGCTGCTGGGACTGGGGATGCCTTCCGAATCACTCAAGCATCGACCAGACCAGGTTCCATTGTGAACCTATTTATACAAAATTCCCAATTCCCCATGATTGGGACTAGTTCACATGTTGTCAGGTTTTTTTTCTCTTCGATGCCGAGATAGAATGAATTTTATGGATGTGTAGCTTGTTTCATGCACGATTCTCGTTTCATACTGTCGCAGAGAGTTCAACAGTCCCTCACGAGGAAAAACACGGACCACCACCTTGATACGGTTGGCAACCACGGATGTATGCCACCGAGGACCCTGAATAGACCCTGAACGGGTGGCTTGTCCGAGATCGGTGGATGAAGCTATTTGCTCGACGGCCAACGGCGTGTTTCAGCACAGGGCCACTTTTTGGGTCGGGGGGGGGGGGGGGGGGTAAGATCTGGGTCCGCTGGTGGTAGAAAAGTCCGCCGGCCAAGGCCGCCTGGGTCTGCCAGGCACCGATGTTTTTTCTGGCCATATGCATGGGTTTGTGGTTGGAGTCTCAAAAATGAGACAAGCGATCAGGGTCTAGTCTACTATTCGTACATAGTAGTGTATGCCCGGGGATCGAACCAAACACGGCCGAGGAAGGCATGCTGATCAGGAACAGGGCAGTTGTTCCAGAAACCATATCCGAAGTAAACCCTTAAAAGGTGATCTATGGTTCGCTAGTGATCCTTGATCGACATTTCATTCCCTTTGGGAAGTGTAGACTGATCAGTTTGAGGTTAATTGAGTAATGTGATGTATCGAAGAGCAGAGCCCGGTTGGATTGCCGATGCCGAGGTATGTTATGGAGCATTGCACGGCCATTGATGGAGCAATCCGAAGGAGAATACGAGACCTCATGAGCTGAAGTCAGAGAATCATAGTCAGCACAGTCAGAGAAGCGTCGACATTGACTGGAGGGAGAAAGACATCCTGGATTGAGAAGTGGCCGATGGATGCCAGTGAATGAGGGAGAAAGTGTAGTGTAGGCTATAGTGTAGGCGGCATGTCCCGTGACCAGCTATGCTTGCTTTGCTTGAAGCATCATCCCTTCCGGTTTAGGCTGACAGCAGTGACCATCAACCCACTTCCACTTTTCTACTGCAATTTTTCATCTGATAGCCACACTATCGAACAATCTTCTGGAAGACTAGCAGAAGTCTAAAACCTCAATTCCATTTATCATCGAGACTAAGCGCCTGGGTCTCGAAACACAGCGTTGAACAAGGTCGGTGCCTATCTCAAATAACGGCCGGAGTAGTCTTGTCAAGTATCAATTTATTCCTCGCTAGCGTCATAGGAAGAGATTGATCTACTGCGCTATCTGATAATTAGCGTAGGGCGCGTCACAGCCAACTAGCACCTGCACTAAACTTGATACACCAAAGATGCCGATCAAATGCATTTGCGCAAGGTTTCTAGTTTCGCGAGACCAACAGCCACCAGCCAAACTAGAGCGCCGGGCCCGACCCCCGGACCGCAAGGCACGGCGACAGCGCCAGCGACAGCGGCCACCACCATCACCACCACCGGCCGTGGCGCGCAATTCCAGCGAGGAGATGCATCACAAGGCGCGCAACACCACCCGCGCCCACCTGCGAGAACTCCACCGCCGGGTCCAAGCGTCACAGTCACAGTCTCTCTCCGAGTCCGAAACCAGGGACCTCGGCGTTGATTGCGTCGAGCTCCCGCTCCGCCCCGATGGGCTCTTACGCGAAGAGACAGACGAAGCCGTATACTTCCACCCGTGGCCGCTTCGGCGCCTCGAGGCCCACCCCGTAGACATGACGGACCCAACCACCCGGGAATCCGCCCGCATCAAGGAGAAGCTCTGGGCGCGCTTCGACCGGAAGGGGACCGACCAGGACGGCTTCCTGAGTGCGGTCCTCGCGGACGAGTTCCTCGAGTACCTGCGCGAGGGGCCGCTGGGTCGGGATACATTGGAGCAGTTCTCTCTGTGGACTGAGGGGTCAGCTAAGTGAACTACATATTTTGATGTGTTGCACGATGTAGCATTGCTGATAGTGGGGACAAACTGCGGGAGCCTCTCACAGAACCTTCGAAGGTGGCATCATTCGATCGCGGTACATGGATTTCAGCGCCTCGGCGGATCCGGACACGGGGCCTGGGGCTGCGCACGCGGCGGACTTCAAGTTCGAGGAGGCGTGGTGTGCGCGCAAGGGAAATCCCCATGTCAGTCTCATCGTGACGCACAAGGTGGCTCCGGAGGAGAGGTTGCTGCGCACCGAAGTCCTGGCCCTCGTGGGCATTATGAGGACACGGCTGAGCCGAGCGGCGCTGAAGGAGCATACGATCATCCCGGTAGGAAACTTCTTTGTGACTAGCTTTCATAGAATCCTCACAGGCTGGACCACTCACATCTGTTGTATAGATCAACATGATATCCTGCATGAGACAGCGCCAAGCGAGGATCCTCCAGGCGCACTTCAACGGCGAAGACCTGGTGATCCGCAAGAGCCATCTCTATGACTTCAGCACGCGAGAGCTTCGCGAGAAGAACATTCCTTTGTTCTTGCTCTACATGGCCAGCAGGCCTATCGGAGATACCAGAGCTTACAAGAAACGGATCCGGGAAGTGTAGGTGTCTGCTATCAATATGCGAGATGGCCGTTTGAATCCTTCATGTAAAGCAAACCTAATTCGAATCCATTCTCCTCGAAAATATGAGCACAAGAAGAAACAAAACCTCATCCCGCATCCTATCCTACTTGATCCTTTCACGTAGAGTCATGGAAACCCCAAATCCCAACTCTAATCCCCCAGCAGCACAACCCCCAATAGAAATCATCAAATATCCCCACCTCCGCATACAAAAGACTCGTCAAGCCATACCCCCGTCTTCCATCTTGAACCCACCCAAATCCTTCTTCTCCAGCTTGAAAACCCCAAACCCCTCCTCCCCAACCCCGTCCTCCTGCACCTTCACCTTCACCTTCTTAGCCGCCTTCTTCGGCGCCGCGGCACCCTCGCCATTCGCGTGGTCCCCACCCCCGTTTGCGGTCTTACGCTTCGCCTTGGAGGGGGTCTCCGCCCCTCCGGCAGCGCCATTAGCGGTGGCGGTGGCTCCATTCTTCTTAGCCGGGGACGTAAACGGGGTTGTATCGGTAGAGGTAGAGCCGAGGGCTTTCGCATGTCTCTTGAGCTTGGCGATGCGTTGTTCGATGGCGCAGGCGGTGCAGTCTTTTTTCAGGCGGTTGTCTTGTCAGTAGAAAGACTCCAGAAGGGGGCGAGGGGGCGAGGGGATGAGAGAATGAAAGACAGTGAAAGAAAGGGATCAAGGCAGATCCAGAGAAAAGAAAACATACCTCCCCCCATGTGCTGGGCCAGCTTCTGGGTGTCAAGTTTCAGTTGGCCGTGACATTGGTTGAGGACGCCGACGAAGAGCTGGATTTTTGAGGGCGAGATGTTAGTGAGTATGCATGCATGCGTGAATGAGGATGGAGCTGGGGAAGGTGTGGTAAAACCTTTGCGTCGGCCTCGGAGGTCCATTACATCGGCATTATGAGATCCTGGTGCTTGGTGTTGGATTTGTTAGGTGTGTTTGTAGTTGTTGTAGTTGTTGTTGTTGAGGTCCGGGTTCTTGGACTTGGGTTGTGTAGATGGTAGTATCATGCGACAGGGACGGAGAAAGATGGTTGGGGGATGAGGGGAGTGAGAGGAGAAGAGAAAGATAGAAGAAGGGTAGGGAGAGGAGATTTATGGGGTTTGTGTTTGCTGGACTCGAGAAGGTGGGCTGGATGGTTGGTGTTATTTTGCTGGTGGTGAATGTTGCAGATGTGAAAGGTAGCTGAGTTGGGAAATTAGGAGGGTAGAAACACTGGCAAGACAACAGGGAATATTCGCTGTGTCTTTCTTGAAAGTGTCTTCTCTGATTGGAATGCTTTCTGTGTCTCTCGAGACCAACTGGTACCTCAGCCCCAAAAACAAAAGCTATCGCATGATACGTTGTTCATAAGGATCTACTCAGTCCTGACTCTGAAGTCCAGGCGTGGGTCTGCTGTGTTCGAATGTGATGCACAAATGAACAGTCCCTTAGAAGGTTGACTTGAGCCTGCAGACATCAATCAAAGGCGTAGAAGTAGAAGATGTGAAAAGAATCATAGAGTATGAAAAATAGGTGCGCATACTACAGCTCTATCAGGGCTGCTGATCTACGCGCAATGGAATGCATAATGTGAAGGTATGATGTAGTAAGGTATATTGTTTGTCTTCCCAAACACTCTGGGAACGTTAACATTAAACTACCACCCACCCTTGCCAGCATTTCCCGTACTCTCCTCGATCTTCTTGGGCATGCCTCGCGTCGGCTTGGACTGGGCCGCCTCGTGCTTGCGAAGCTCCTCGGGGACCCGGGAGATGGGCGACTTGATAAGCATCTGTTTAAGATCGTACCTGCAGAAAACCAGGTCAGTAAGCGAATACAAGGTGGATGACAAAAACTGTAACAAGATGGAGAAGAAGCAACATACATTACGTCGGAATCCTCGTTCCCGAGGAAGGTGATGGCAACACCACTCTTTCCAGCACGACCCGTACGACCGATACGATGCGTGTAACTCTCGATACTCGTCGCCATGTTGAAGTTGATGACCAGACTGACATCCGGCACATCGATACCTCTACCCGCCAGGTCGGTCGCCACCAGCACATCGGTTGAACCGTTCCGAACGGACGCCAGCGCCGCCTCACGCTGTTCTTGCGTCTTACTACCGTGCAACGTAACAGACGAGAAGCCCCACTGTTTGATCTCCCGAGCAATGGCATCGCAGTTGCGCTTGATGTTGACGAACACAATGATCGGAGGACGGAAATCGCCCGACGACAGGATCTCGCCGAGGCGTTTCTTACGCTTATCTTCTCCTGCGATCAACTCCACACGCTGCTCGACTGTATCGACGGCTTCACCGGCGCTACCAATGGTCACAATGGCTGGGCGGCGGAGGTATTTGCGGGCGATGCGTTCGACAGCCGAAGGCATGGTGGCCGTGTACATCATTGTTTGACGGTAGCGTTGAAGATGGGACGGCTGATTCGAGTTGATATGGCGGCTCATTGCGATGGAATTCTCGGCTTCCTCGCTGTCCGGCTTCTCGTTGGTAACAGGCAAAGCATCCAAGATCTTGTTGACAGGCTCTTCGAAACCCAGATCGATCATCCGATCGGCTTCATCCATGATCACGTAGCAACATTGACTGAGGACGAGCATCCGGCGCTCGATACAGTCGACGAGACGACCAGGCGTAGCGATAATGATCTCCGCACCGTCGCGGAGACTGTAAGCCTGTTCTTCGAACGAGTGTCCACCAACGATACTGACGACGTTGAATCCAAGCGGCTGAGTGAACTTCTTGGCTTCAATCTCGATCTGTTGCGCCAATTCACGAGTCGGTGCCAGCACAATAGCGTAGGGTCCATCGTTCTTGCGCCATTCGAATTCGTCAATCCGAGGAAGCTCCGCAATGTAACAGAGAAGTGGGAGGAGGAAGGCCGCCGTTTTACCGGAACCAGTAACAGCCACACCGATGAGATCGCGATTCTGCATAGCGATCGGAATAGCCGCACGCTGGATAGGAGTGGGTTCCTTATATCCAACCTGGCCGATGAGCTCCAGTAGACGCGAGGGCAGTCCCGATTCATCCCACGAGCGCATTGGGTTGGGCACGCTCCCACCCTTGGTACTGATGTTGAAGTCTTCCTTGAAGATACGCCAATCGCGCTCGCGCATATGTTCGAGCTTCTTCTCGGACCAATGCTTGTCCAGCTGATTGCGGGTACTCTCTTCGCGGCGACGGCGCTCCATCTCCAGGATTTCGCGCGCGCGGATGCTGCCAGCTTCGCGGTCGCGGTCCTCTAGAGCCCGCGCGTAGGTCTTGGCCACTGCGTCAGCAACATCGTCACCGAAGCCAGCCAGACGGCCGCGGCCGAAGAAGTTAGCTTCGTGCCGGTGTTTGTAGAGCGGGTTGTAGTCCCCGCTAGTGTCTTCCTCAGCATTCCACTCGAAGTTGAACTTGCGATCTGTCGTGCGCTTGCGCTTCTTCTTCGCGGAGAAATTTGACGTCTGGTCGGCGCCCATGTATCGTTGCTTGATAAGCGCGGCTTGTGCTGCTTGTTCCTCCTCGGCGTCGTCCACGGCGCCTCTTCTGTTCTTATGTTGTTTGCCGGGGCCGCTGGTCAAGCCATACGACATCGATTTAGGGGGAGGGGGAGGTGAGAGATCGTAATTCTTGTTGTTGCGCATCGAAGCCGGCGCGCTGGGCGCATCGGAAGAGTTGCGCATGGCTCGTGGACCGGTGGGAATCGAGCGGGAGTTGTCATTGTGGCGGGACTCTGATGAGCGGCTGGAGGATGTGTTGTCGATCGTCTGGGAGGACGTCTGATCAGTCTTGAGTCTGCGCGCGGCTTCGACTTCCTTTTGGCGCTTCTCAAGGGCGATCTTTTCTCGTTCCTTCTTCGACAGAAATTTGGGCTGAGAGTTGTTAGCTGTGCAGCTTGATTTACACGAAGCCCGAGTGAGATCTACCTTGGCAGCTGCAGCATCAGCTTCCCGTTTCTTGCGCACCAGCTCCTCGACACTCAGAGGCGTAGCAGCTGGGCGTTTGGGGGCTCCCCATCCGACTTTCTTCTTCTTGGATTCTGGCTCTGGCGGCGGAGCAGGTGGAAGGTCCTCCGGCGGTGGCGGAGGTGCGGACGTGTCTGGCGGCGGAGGAGGAGCGGAGGAGTCCTCTGGAGGCGGGGGAGGAGAAGGTGGACGTTCGATGGGTTCTGGAGGTGGCATAGGAGGAGGGGGAGTCTCCAACGAGCCGTTTGTGATTATGCCATCCATGGTGAATTATGGAGATAGTAGGAGGAAGGAAATACAGCACGCCGCCGGTAGGCGTTTGATATGACCGACTATCGAAGGCGGCAGGCGGCGCCGCGGAGTCTAGAATTTCTACGGAGGCGCAAAGAAGCTGGGACCGCAGCCAGTCACGTGCATAGCATGTTGAAGTATACAGTCACCATCTATGCTTTTATACAGTCACCACTTATCATTTCATCATGAGTTCATCATGAATGTCTACCTGGTGAGGGTTGTAGATATAGCCGATGACTTTTTTCTTGGCCAGGAGAAGCCCCAATGAGTTATTATTTACAGCTCGACATTTGACCGGAACGAACACCTCTCAGCACCTACACCCACAAATACAAAAAAAGCCCAGTAAGCGAAGTGACCAGGCATCTTAGCATCTCTCCTCATAAACAACCTCGAAGTCTCCCAGATGCACGACATGGCAATCTTTTGTTTCCTTCAAGAACCGCGTCCCATCCTCCCCCTCCGCAAGCCTCACCTCGAACCTCTCGAACAACTTCGCCAACACAATCCGCATCTCGATGTAGGCCAGCCCTCTGCCAGCGCAGGTATATGCACCTGCGACAAACGGCATGAAGGCCGACTTCTTCAACGTTAACCCTGGTTGTTCGCCGGTCCAGCGCTCGGGGATGAACTCCTCGGGCCGGACGTAGTTCCGGGGGTCTCGCTGGACGGGGAGAACAGGGACGCTGATAATAGTGTCGCCGGGAATGAAGATAGTGGTTGGTGATGAAGATGAGGATGCGTTGGGAGTGATAGGCAAGGGGACGTGGATACCCTCGGGGGGTGTTTTGCGTGGGATTTCTCCAGGGACAGGGGGCTGGAGGCGGAGAGCTTCATTGATACAGGCGTTGAGATAAGGAAGAGAAGTGATAGAGCGATAGTAGGAGGCTTCAGGCTCCGAGTCATTCTCTTGACCGTTGCTTTGCTCTCGCAGGCGTTGTGCAGCATCGTCGAGCTCCGCTTGGAGCTTGCGCTGAACAAGAGGGCTGCGTGCGAGGTGGAAGATCACAGTCGCCATGGTTGTGGCCGTAGTGTCTCTATTGTCGAGTCAGATCCACATTACCTCTCTCCCAATAGTCCTGGGAAGGACATATGACAGAAATTTAGGGGGCAAGAAACATACCCTCCGGCAATAACCATCAACTCCCCCTCACTATACAGTGCTGACCTTGACAAATTCACCATGGCCGGCATCATCTTACTCATCGCATCAGTAGTCTCATGCTCCGGCGTGTGCAACCGCTGCATCTTCTCCCGGATTCGCGCCTCGATCCACGCGCCGTAGCGCTGAAGCGGTGAATCTGCTCCAGGCAGGTTAACCAGAAGACTCATCAGCCACGGCGCCTGGGAGATGATCCGCTGACCGGCAGTGACCTGCCGCACGAAGTGCAGCGCCGGATTGAGCTTCCAGTTCTCAATGTTCTCGAACGAATAGCCCCAGCCAATGAGGCCCATCAGGTCATAACTTAGCAACTGCATCGTATCCGGACCGGAGACTACTTGACCAGCTCGTTGACGCAGAGCATCTAGGAACCGTTCCGTGGTCTTGACGACCACAGGCTGATAGGACTTGAGAGCTAACATTGAGAGCCAAAAGTCAGCACACACCCTCGCTTCAACTCTCAGCCCATCTCTCATCAATCACTCTTTATGCTAAAAAAGACAAGCAGGACACACAAACCTCGAATATTGAACGCCTTATCCCAGAGCGCCTTTCTGCGCTGCGTATGAGCAACCGGATCCCGCATATGGAACACCGCAAAGTCCTCGGAGAAATCCCCCGCGGCTTTCAAGCGATCATACCAGATGGCGCGGGTACAACGACTTGAGGCGCCGTAGATGACCTCGATTGCGTCGGCCGACAAGATGCTGAGTTCCTGGGGCCCCGTTCGGACGATATCGCCATACTGCTTGTGGAGATCCCAGATGCGCTCAAAGTCCCGTTCCTTTCCGACGTTGCCATACGCCGCTACTAGCTTCGAGAGCTTCAGGGCGACTGGGCCTGGGAAACGACGGAGGCGGTGGAAGAACGCCCGGTAGATCAGAACAGAGGCGAAAAGGGGACCGTAGAAGCAGAGGTTCAAGAGAGATATCGCGGAGAGTCCGCGGAGAAACGCGCCGATACTCCAGGGAGACTGGTGCGGGTGGGTGTTCACCAGAGCGAAGCCTACAAGGGCGATATTCACAATCCCATGCGAAAACAACCAGGTACGGACCTCTTTGTTGTTGCGTTCCCCACGGATCCAATAGAGGAGATGGGCGCTCACGCCGGCCAAAGCAAGAAGAGGGCCATGCTGCTTGGTGAGGTCAACCAGGTCGACTGACACGGCCATCATTGACGTTGTGTTAATTGGTCTCTCTTCGCGATGACCCCTTCTGGAAAAAGAAAAACATTAAGGAACGTGCTGAGGGAGAACGATACGAGAGAAGGATTCTAAATAGTTTCTCATGTCGTAAATTGACAGCGCCATCTCCAGCACTAATCGGTAATCCCGACCCTCCTATGACGGTGGGACCTATCATAAGCATGAGAACTCGAGCTGACATTCAGTTCCAGTTAGGTAGTCTAGTAAGTCTACCTAACTAACTAGCTGAGGCTGTACCTGTCAGCTTGGCCCAATCACGCATAAATATCTCGTTCAAGTAGATTACGAGAAGAAATCAGGTCTGTCATTGGATGGCTCGGTAATACTGGGCAAGGATCCACTTGCATTTTATTCGATCCCAGAGGTGTGTATTAAGGCAACGTAGTCTAGGAGCTGAGCTGGACATTTACTACAACACAGTCACTTGCATTGGTTGGTGGTTAGGGTTATAAGAGGAAAAGTAAAAAGTAAAAGCTACCTGCGCATTAGAATACAATGGAGACAGTGTCCAATTCTCATAATAAGCCACCCAGTTTACACATGAAATCATTGGGAAGCTGTCAGGGAGCAGGCTGATTCAATTGCCCCCACTAGACAGATCACTTGCTCCTCCCTCACTCAACACGCCTGAGTCGCTGAAAGCTGCATAATCAATAAAATAGGTGGGGGAAATAGATTGAGGGGCTATTGTTCTACACATCAACAAGCCGCTGCCGGCTTGGATTGGGAAAAAGGGAAACCAACCACCGTAAAAGGGATATCAGGAGTTAACAGACCTGGGCTGTGGCAAGCTCAGGCTGAGATAGTGAGTCTGGGGAAGAGCTCACGCGTCGCCGTTGACAGGCGCCTGCTGGTAGTAACCGGCATAAGGGTTGGCCTGGGGTGCAGGAACAACTACTTCCGCCGTCGCTGGGGTCACCGGGGCGGCTGCCACCGGAGCTGGTGCTGCTGCCGCCTCAGTAGCCTGCATGTGCGATACCGAGGCAGGCCCGTGGACCTCCCGGTCAAGGGTCATGTATTCCTTCGCCGCATCCTTGGTGCCGCGTTCCAGCAGATAGACCATGTAGATTTGCACAAGCTCTCGCACTGCTTGGGCTGGCAGGGAACTCTTGGTCCGGATTTCATCGACGACTTGCTTAATGCGCTCGTATTGAACCGTTTCAGAGGTTGAACTCGTGGGCTGCTCGAGTTCGAAGTGAAGATAACTCGTCCAGAACGGACGGCTGTCCAGGTAGTATTGCTGGTTCTTCTGATAGACTTGACGAGCCTCTTCGGACGAGCCCTTGATCTTCCACAGGAGGCGAGCCCATTCGGCGACGAGAGCCGCCTTTGTGGCGAGGTCGCATTGTGGCGAGTCAAGCTGAGTCTTGTACACCTCGATGGCCGCGTCAAGTCCGCCGTGGCGACGCGACATGTTGGCCAAAGACACTATCGTCTCCACGTGGTTGGGAAGATGGATCAGGATGGCCTCGTGAATCTCCTTGGCAACATCCACACGGTCGCTCATCTCCTCGAAATAGGCATACTGCAGACGCGTTGTCGGGTTGGCAATAGGTACGTACAAGCAGCTTGCACGTTGGTAGATGATGCGGACTTCCTCATCCTTGCCGGGCTGAGCGGCCATCCACCGGGCATAACGCTGCCAGAATTCATCGTAGTGAGCGCAAGTCACGAGACACCTCTCGTACAAGAACTGGATACGAGCATAAGAGCCCTCGGACTCCTCGAAATCCAAGTACTTCTTCCAGTTCGATAGCTGGCCTTCATCCAGCTCAGTAACATGGAAGTATGGACGCTTGATCTCCGACTCGTAAGTCCAACGCTTGGTGGTCTCGGTCTGGGTCTTGGAGAAAACCTCAAGGTGGTGACTATCGACGCGCAGTCGGAGATCTCTTTCAATTTCAGCCTCAGCCTTTGCACCAGGGGCAATCTGCCCCGCAGCGGCGTCGAGCTCCGCACGGAATTGTGACAACGTTTCGGGGGACGCCAATTCGGCGACAGGCCGAGCTTGCGCCAATTGTCTATACCGCTCGAAGTACCGGGCATACTGGTGCATAGGGATGTGAATAACCCGACCCAGGATGGCGAAGATCTTGTCAACGGCCTCCACACGTTCCTCGAACTCAATGTACTTGTCCCAGAACGGGTGCGCCAGGAAGTCCAAGCCGACACTGCTTGCACCGCGTTCAAAAAGCCTGAGCACAAGCGAGAGAAAGGTTAGCAAGCCATTCCACGCTGAAGGTCCAAGACCAGTGGGAGGGAGTGGGAGGAGGATGCGGGGGAGGAAGGGGAGAAGATGACAAGGATAGCAAACATGAGCATCAGATTTCCAATGCCTGCGAGTCCGAACAATTGAACAACCAAATGGTGAGAACGGTGGATGGGGACGTCTGTTTTTTCCTCCTTCTGCACCGAGCGCAGAGTAGGCGTCACCGAACACAGCCGATGATATCCGTGCAGGGCAAGGTGGTTGAGACGTCAAATCAGAGAATTCAAAACTTCTTCTTTCAAAAGGGGGGGAGGGAGATAGAACAGCCTGAATAAGCCATGGGTGAGAAGTAAACTCCAGTTTTCTTTTTCTTTGGAACCCGGGTAAGGTGAAATCTCACCCATCATTGAGGGAACTGTTGCCCGCGGAGATTTGCACCCCGCAGGTTCGGCACAACAACAATGTCCGTGCTGCATTGATCATGGTTACGAGGGCAAGGAAAGGAAAAAGCAGCTTTAGTTATACTTACTCTCGAATCACGTCAGCGTCGTGAGAAGTCTCGGCCTTGAAGGAGCAGTAGTTGGTCCATAGGTCGACCGAGGGGGAGATGCTAGCAACACCTCGCTCATAGACCTGTAGCTATTAGCGACCACCCCACAGGTCGTTGGGAAGCAGGTGAGCCATGCGTACCATATCTGCAGCTTCGGTTCCGGTGAGGGAAAATTCCAGGTCGGCATACTTCTTCCAGTATCCGAACAGCAGAGGGAACTTGGCGAGGAAGCGATCGTAAACATTGCGGACGGTGGTAATAGCTTGGGGGTTGGAGTTGCGGTTGATGCCACCCTCCAAAGCCTCGGCAGCGCGAACAAGTTTCTCCCATGTCTCGAAGTTATCCGGGTCATCGAGCTAGAAGGAAAAGCCAGTGTCAGCTCGTGGAGTCCTAGAGTAGCCTCTAGAGAGCGCAAACAGCTGAGCAGGAGATGCAGTCCATACCAATTCAACTTCAAGCTTCCTCAACTCCGCATTCTCTTCCTCGGAACCTCCATAATTGTAGTCCGCCATGATGGCAGCAGTATGAGCGGGGATAGCCGTTGTACGGATTTGCAGTTGAAATTCCTAAGAATCCGGGGGAAGAATAATCAAGAAAGGAGGAGAGATCAACAAAAGCAACAAAACAACAACAAGAGACACGATCCGACGACAAGAAGGGAGGAGGGGGGGAGAGTGGAGAAGAAGGAGTCAAAGTTGGTGAATCCCGCAAGGAGGAAAGGCGACAAGCGTAAGTAGGCGAAGACGGATGAACCTTGGACCTTTGCACTCCAGGCTAGTTTAGTGTACGTACTTGCGGAACTAAGCCTCTTCGGATTTCTGTTTTCTCTGAAGTTTGCCTTTCTGCTTGCGGGCATTTTTCTGCCCTTTGCTTCCGCCCGACCGGATCTAACCTTTCTGGCTGCCTCAGGCTTCTATTTGTGTTTCTCTCTCTTCCCCTCCTAAAACAGACTAGCGCCGCCTTTTCACCCGGGTTTTGGATGCAAAGCAATCAAAAGTGGTGGAAAAGATAGCACGACTTCAACGTTCGGGTTAACTCTTCTCTCCTCCTCTTCCTCCTTCTCTTCCCCCCCCCGGTCCTCCTCCTTTCGCGAGTCCTCTCCCACGTCCAATTCATACAGGAGGAACCCACCGGCAAGGGCAAAATCCCCCCCCCCACAAAACCTCACAATGGCCACCTCCCAAGCCGCCAGCAGCCTGGCCTCCGGCCTGCCGAAGCGCCTCCGCAACTTCTTCGCCCGCTATCCTCCGCAAGTCTACTCCACGACCGTACGCCCACCGGTCACAGTCCCGAAGCCATTTGCTCTAGCCCAGGCAGCGGCCGCTACCACCGCTCCGAACACCACGACCACCACCACGTCCACCACGACCACCACGACAACCACCACCTCCAGCTCAACCTCCAGCAGCACACCAGTCACCGACGCGATCGCCGCCGCCTCCCAGCTCCCATCGCCATACACCCCGAACCGCGAAGCGAAGGGCTACCAGCCGCCGGACCACAAGTACTCGGACGCGCTGCTGTGGAGGGGCCCCAAGGGCCGGCTCAACCCGTTCCTGCCGCGGAAGCTGGGCGAGCGCAAGTGGGAGGGCCCGCGGATCAGCCTGCGCCGGCAGGCGGAGCTGGTGAAGCTGGCCCGCAAGTTCGGGGTCGAGGAGCTGCTCCCGCCCTCCCGCAAGTCCGCCGAGTACAAGGAGGCCCGCCGCGCCGAGAACCAGGGCCTGGCCGTCAAGGGTACCGGTGTCGGCCAGAAGGTCAAGGGTCACAAGTGGGAGCGCACCATGGAGGCCCGCCTCGAGGACCGCCGCAAGGCCATGCTCGAGATGCCGGAGATGGTGCGGTTGTGGAAGCAGGTACGTCTTTTTTTTTATTTTTCTTTCCCTTTTCCCTTCGTCCTGGAAAGAAGATGGGTTGGAATTATAGAGGTGTATGGCTTTTGCTAATGGGTTTTTTTGTTTCTTTACAGAGAGGTCACGGTCGTGGTTGGAAGCAGTGGCCCAAGAAATAGAGCGCTTTCCCGCTTTGATTTCTGGTTTTGGGTTTCTATGCTCCCCCGGGTTTCCTCGCTTTTCGCCTCGAACTCGATTTCTCTAGGCATGGGTTGGGTTCGGAGATTGTCGGGGGCCGACTTCTGGGGCCTGGGATGGATGCAGGTTACTGCATGACCAGACCCTACCCTCCCTTCTTCGGGTGAGGTTTGATTGACCATCAACATCATTCGTCATCATCGTCATCATGTTTTGGAATAGGAGTTATCTGTTTCTATTAGGTACTGTACAAATAGTTATATTGTTCTATATCGAGTCATGCATTTGAATGCCCTATCCCAGTATTCAATTCCACTCTGCATATCTGGTATTTGCTATTGCATTGCACACTGTCAAAAATGCCCGTAGAACGCCCTATATTCATATGCAAGATGTAGACGCCCCAAAAGTCCAGTCAAATCCCCATCACGGCCCAAAAGACGGATCCACAATATCACCAACCATGACCGTCCGAGACACAGCGGAGGCCCCTTCCTCACCCAGGGCCCCCGACGAAGCCAACCCAAGATGCCGTCCAAAGTAGATCTTATTGCCAACCTTCCGCGTCTTCGCCAACGTCGAGTAGGGCTCGTCCCCACGGACGCCCGTGTACTGGTCCACGCATACCATCTGGCACCGTTGACACGACCCTAGGACATTGAACGGGATACTATTGGGCCCAATGCGCACGCTCTGCCACTCGTCTTCCACGTAAGGCCTCTCGGCGTTCGCCGGCCTCGGGATTCTCTCCGCGACCACGATATTGGCGCGGAACACATCGGCGGCGACTGCTTTCTTGTTGCTGCTGGCATTGCCGCCGCTGCTGCTCGCGGTGTTGTTGCGCTTGATTGCCTCGTTCAGCCGGTTGACGGAGGAGCGCGAGATGAGGAGGATCGGGCTCTCGTTGGACAGGAGGATGGGATTCTGCGGCGACGCCAGCTGAGGATCCTGCGGGAAGGAGCCGGGCATTGTCGTCCGCGCCCGCAGAGGCGAGTTTCTATTGACGAGGGGGCCGGTTGAGGACGCAGATCTTGTCGTCGACGATTGCGGGGGGAAGCGTGCGAGGGTGCATGGCACACCCAGGAAGTTAGAGAAGAAAGAGGAGACTTCGTGCGATGTATACGCCTGCACGATGACTTGGTCACCACAGACGGTGGAGGGCTTGGAGGAGTTCTGACATAGCGAGGTGGACACGAGGTTCAGGTTCCTGCGATGAAGGGGAAGTTCCAGGTATTTTCCATGTGTAGAGGATGCGCCGCCGCAAGTGATCCGCAAGAATCCGCCAGCAAGGTCGATGACCGGCCGTATCAGCGCCATGCGCGGATATCTCTTCTGGTTGAGCGCCACACCAGTGCCCTGGTGAATCAGGCACCATTCCCTGTCCCATGCCAGTCCCTCCGGATGGATCTCCCAGCGTTTGCCGTCCGGCACTTTGAATGCAGCGCAGCTCTTAATGGGGTAAATTGATAGACTCTCCACATAGAACTCTGGCTGCTGGACGAGGTTGTTGTCCACTGGCGGTGCCAGAGTACACACGTCGAGACTCTTCTCCACAAAGAACTCTTCCAAGAAGGCCACGAAAGTGTTAATGTCCCTCAAACTGCTCATTGCACCAAGGCTGGCCCTCAAGATGCCAGTCGGTCGCCCGTCCATGATATCATGATCATCGCCGCAACGCAACCCATGGGAGAAATGCCGGAGCATGTCGGCACCAGTCCAATCCAGACTAGCCGCTGTGCCTCCAGGGTTGCAAAGAGTACCGGATCTGATCTGAATGTTCTTGACGGCTGCCAGTCTCTCCACCTCGGACTTACCAATCCACGTACCCTGACTATTCCGCAGATTGAATGCCAGAATCGGACCTTGCAAAGACGAATCACTATAGTCAACGTGGGGCGACGCATAGACATGGCAGACTCTCTCCCCGTTATGATGCTGCAAAGCAGTCATGCGATCATGTAGTTTCCCGGCCAAGGAGCGCGTGTGCGACGAGACATTGCTCATCGAGCCGAAGAGGCGCGCGTGCGTTTCAAAAGCTAGATCCAGCGCGATAATGCTATGGAATGGCAGCGTCCCATCTTCCAACCGCTCGTGTATCGAAGACTGCTTCTTCGCATGCCACGGCGTCTCTTGCGTGAGAACCATATCCACCGTGCCACCACCAAAGAACCGCCGCTTATCAAAGATCTGCCCTGCACTCTTGCGAATAATCAACGCCCCAAGATCCGGAAATCCGAAGATCTTATAGAAACTGAGCGCCGTGAAGTCCGGGGCGTTTGCAGCGTCGCTCAGATCGAGCGGAGAGGTGGAGACCAGGGAAGCGGCATCGAGCATGGTATAGACCCCCTGGGCAGACATGGTACGGATATTTCCACACCATCGGAGCGGAAACCGACGGCCGTTCATGTTCGACTGCGCAGGAAACGCAAATAACCGGTTGCCCTCCGCTGGGGCCGAGTCCAACTCAGACATCCAGCGCTCGACCTCATTGTCGGACATGAAGCATCGACTCCCCAGCGCTGCGAGCTCACGAGCCCCAACCAAGCTCGTGTGCGCGTCGACATGGTATCCATACCAGAACCCTTGGGGCGTTGCATCGCGCAGAGCATCGGCGACTAATTTGATAGCCGCCGTGGCGTTGGCCACAAAGACAAGATCGAACTCTTCGGGGTCAGCGTTGAAGAAGCGAAGAGCTCGTAGACGTGTGTCGTCTATCCGCTGCGTCGATCGTTGGGAGGGCGCGGACAGTGAATGCGGGTTGCCGTAGATGTTGGAGGTGAGGTCACGCGAAAACGACTCGATCAAAGACTTTGCATATAGGGTCGTCCCGGCATGATCAAGGTAAGTAGTATCTAGAGAAGTCGAGAGTGTCAATACATTGCTCTTTCTTGTGTGTAAAGGCTAGCTGACTCCAGTAGGCGAACCTTTCAGCAAGGGGTATTCACGCTCCCGAAGGACATCAATGTCTTCCGGATAGCTTTGTATGGATTCAGACCCTACTTCTTTTAATCCAGAGTCACCCATCTTGCCCAATAGCCCGCAATATCTTGAGCAGCATCAGATCTCAAAAATAATTGCTTGTGGTGTATGCAGTCGAGGTGGGCATCGCCGTGGAGAATCGAGATCGGGGTGGCGACCGGTTGTTCTTGCACGCTCACACATACAATGCTCCGGGGGGCTTGCGTAATGACTCAGGGATGAAGAACTTAGAACGAAAAAGAGCTAGATAACAGGGACCCCAGTAGTCACAGGTAGTTTGAAATCATATCAGTGATCGAGGAAGACGGGATGATGGTGTCAGGAACCACAGCCTAACTAATACTTTATTTCAATGACTTGGGCCGATAAGGCTGTTTATCGGAGCTTACCGAACTTGAGCTCCGACGGTTTGCCACCAATACTTATCCTACCCTCGGCAGCAGGAAACGCCCGAAAAGTCAGAGGAATATTCTTGGGGAAATAGCGAGGAAATCTAAAGGAATGTTGAGCGGCCGAAGATAAGTGATTAAGCAGAAATCTGTGGGACAGTCCGAAATGTTATACTTTGTTCTTAAGGCACCGGAGCGGATGAGAAGTCAAGCTCCCCCACTCCTGCTTTCTTATCGAGCGCGGGGAGCGGCGGCCAGATCCGATGATCCTGGCTTGCATCATTCTTCTTCAGGACTAGATGATTTTCTCAAAAGTGGAGGCCTTAATACAAGGCACAATGTACTATACGATGGCGATATTCATTTCAGAAAACAATATCATATGACACATAGATCAGCCGTACGAAGCATTAACTTCCCCAGGCCGCAATCGAGCACAAATCATGCGGTATAGCTTTCAGAGAGAAGCACAATCAAAGAGATGTGCTTGAGGTGGTAAATGCAAAATAGTATCGAAGGAAACAGTATCTCGTAAGTCGTGAGCGCGATCGCATCGCTTCATGGGCCTAAACCCCATGCCGGCCCTTTATGCATCGTCAACGATTCCCATCATTAACCATATACCATTTCATCATAGTCCGTAAAGTCGTAAATGAGAGAAGCCAGTCCTAGACTTCGTAGTGATGTCGGCTGCGCGAGCTGCTATGGCGCCGATGACCGCGTCGACTGCTGTGACTTCGGCGCCGCACAGTCGTCTCCTTGACTACCGTGTCCGGTCGGCGGTAGATCATCATCGCCAGGATCGCCGTCCAGAAGAACAGAATCACCTCGATTATCCCCAATGCAAAGCAAGCTTTGAGCATGGCGCAAGTCTTGTTGATGTGGAATGACAGCGGATTGTCCGAGGTGTAGCCATAGTATCCGAAGGGACCAAGCGAAATGTACACCGAGCCTCCATTCCAGTGCGCACAGTCCGCATTCGTAATGAATCGCAGCTCGTAGACCCCTGCGATGAATGCGCCGAAGAATAGTAGATCCACGAAAGCGACGAACATTGCCGAACGTCGAGTGGTAGAAATCCGAATCATGGTGTCGATACACCAGAAAGCCGCAATAACGCTGACAATGAAGATAACCAGAATATAGGCCGGGGTTATCATGTTTGCGTTGAGATAGCCGTTGACAAAGTAGGCCTATCGTGCAGCTGTCAGTTGCAATACTCGAAATGAATCAAGTCTAGTTGTGGAATGTGCCTACCATCATTCCGATGATCGGAATTAGAAGAATAAGCTCTAAGAGCCGATTGAGGATGAAGAAGAGACTGCCAATCATCTTGCCGGCTGTTTTTCGCACAATGCGCGCGAACCAATTCGACTCAACGGCTGCTGAATTGGCTGTAAGAAGATGTGTCGAATTCAAGATGGCTGCAAGATCAGATAAAACAAACGGACTGGCGAGCAGCTACAACGTCATCATACACTCAAGGAAGACTGGCGACGGACGCGGAGGGCGGTAGGAATGAAAATGAGACCAAGGCCAGAACAAGGTACAGCCAGGCTCTGACGTTGCGCCGGACAACGTATAGCGAGTAGTGAGGGAGGGGATCGGTTAGGTGCCGATCTAAATGTAACTCGATTCTTTTGCTAAAGCACGAGAGAGAAACCCACACGCAGTTAGATAAAAGGGAAGCAAGGGTGCAGATGATGCATCCCAGAAGACAGAACTCAACAGGAGAAAAACTGGCAGATGAAATGAAAAGAATGGGTCGGTCGGAGGAAGAATATGCAGGTCGGGGAAAGGAAGAGGGGAGGCTGGGCGACTGAGGGCGCGGGGTGGCTGGGAGAAGGGAGAATCGACGATGAAGTCGTTACAAGGGCGGCTCGCTGCGTCTCACCACAGCCTGACTATGATGACATTGAAGCGGTTGACCTTCCAATTAGCCGTAGATTGGTACTCCGTAGATTGGAGGGACGAAGCATAGACTAAATTAGTTCAAGGTAACGTTACCTTATTTGTTGGTCTTGTTTGTCCATGAGCATCATGGCATTGTTTACTGCAGCAACAACAATAACAACAATAACAACAACCGGTCATCGGTGGGGCCGCCACGAGGGGAAGAGAGAAAGTCTAGAGCCAACCATCAATGATCATCAGGGACAGCCTCAATGTTCGATTACCATGGAGTAACCATCCGAAGGGAAGAGTCAGTCAGCGTCAGCGAGGTAATCATGACTCTCTGGAAATTAGATAGCATAGCAAAGTATGTACTTGTACTGTACATTGTGTACAAATTGTACAACCTGTACAGTACATGCCGTCAAGACTGCGCAGGCTGTGATCACCGCCTGCGGTTTCATCATCGATCCAAAGCCCACTCACCGCCTGCAAATCTATGGTCGTAAGTAGGCCACTGTACTGGGTACCTATAGAGAACCTCTGGCCATTTGGAGCAATTGTTGCTGTCTCTGTCATTTTCCCGCCCGTTGCTTGAACTCAATAGTGTACCTTCCGTTACCGATAGTCACCGAAAAAGAAGAAAGAAGACAAGACAAAGTCAATCAACCAATATTATCATCGCAGTAAGAGCCCGAAAATGTTACATGCAAATGTGCTGGTATATGTTCTATAAATGGCAACATAATGAATACCCCTCGCATCGATGCGACCGGGGGTAGCCCCGTCTCGTGTCTTATACTTCCCGCGAATGCAGCTCGGTCAGATCCCGCCCACGATCAAGCTGAGCAGTCATCACTCGTGTGGGTGCATGGAGAGCTGTGGCCGCCTGTGGCCGTTGCGAGTCATACGTCGTGTCAACCTCGTATTGTGGAATCGATCCACCCAATCCCGGGTTGCGTGCTCGAGTATACCCAGACTGCATCTCATAGCCATTTGCGTGAACGTCCTCGCTGGATGAGGACCAATTCCCGTCCTCGTCCTGCGATCGACGAGTGTACATATTCGTAGCGTAGGGATTGGATGTGGGGATGTAAGCCGCGCCATTGTCTGCACCAACCATCGGCTTCGACTGACTGTCTGCTGCCGGATGACGGAGCGCGGCAGTACTATCCTCGAATCTCACCATATTCAATGGATTCGATGGGGGCAGCGGCTCTGTACCCCAGCTGCGGATCGGATGCGCGCGACCTTTTTTCCAGGGCTGCGAAAGAGGAGGGAAATACTGATGATAGGAGATAATGGCGCAGAGAATCCCAAGAAGCGATCCAGTAATGACGTCGAAGGGGTGATGTCTCGCATCCATAATCCGACTCACCGCAACGAGGGTAGCACCCAGGCTCGGTATCATGACCAAGAGTGCTTTCCAGACCTCACCTTTGTTGTCCATTATATGCAGTTTGCCACTCATCCAGAGCGTCAGGTAGAACAAGCCAGCGAATGACGCTGTAATGTAAGTCAAGTCAGGGATTGGTTTCAATCTTTGGCATCGTAGAGACAATCTTACAGCTACTGTGGCCTGTTCTTATAGGTCAGCATACGATCAGTGTCGAAGTGTTTGCAGGATTACCGAACCTGATGGCCATGAACGGAAGCCGTCTTTGATAAGCGCATGTTCCCCCGTGCAGATGGTAGAGTTAGACAAGCCTGGAATTGCATCCTGGCTTCCTGCGCGAGGCTGGCACCGATCGATAAAATCGGGCCGAGGCTTGCCACAGGCGTTCTTCAATGCTTGCGTGATGACGAACGTCAGCCCCTGAGAGAGCAGGAGCCCCAGTATCCCACAGTTAAACTCCCATAGTCGATCTTTCCACCGATACGGGCCTGAGAATTTCCGCTTGCCGGATACTGGATCTTGTGGTTTGTTGTGGGAGAAGAGTCCATCTATAAGAAGGGTATAGACGGCGATGATGACCAAAGGCGCCACTCCGGAGATACAGAGAGCTTCCTGTATCGTGATACGCTCGTGAATGGCATATGGATACTGGATGGAAATGTTTCGTAGCGAGAAATGCTGGTGGTAAGGTTCAATGGAGTCGAGAGCATAGAACCCTGCAATGCAGACACTGTTGCAGTCTTGTTAGCAGGAATCCTGGCGGCCAGTGCATGATGTAGACAAACACGAGAATAACATAGTCTGCGATGTATCTGGAGCGAGAAGAGAGCGTTAGCCATTTCTCTGGGTTTGGGTTGAAGTAGACAAAGCAAGCCTCTCTTGTGGACTTACGAAAGCACAACCCGCGGCCTCAGGCGCTGCTTGGAAAAGAGCAGCTTGTCGGGCAGGCGATTCATCATGCAATGAACGCTGCGCCTAGCGATATTCAAAATTCCAGAACCAGAGCAGGTCACCAAGAATGGAAGCTATGTCTAGCAAGTATATTGTTGATATTGTTGTTGAGATTACGTCTGATGGCTGTTGTGTAGGAAAATTGAGCACGTGAGGGGATCGATCAGCTAGGTACTAGGTAGGTAGTTAGGTTGCTGCCATTCGAAACACCAATCGACAAAGGAAGCGGAGTCCAATTGAAAGAAACCCCAAATGCTACCAAACGTCGTCTTCAAAGGACGAAACGTACGCAGTGTACGAAGTACAGAGGATGAAAGGGAGAGATAGTTGAGTATTGAGAGAGAGAGAGAGAGGAGTCGAGAAGTCAGAAAAACGTTTGCTCTATTGCAGGCCCGCGGGTGGGCGAACTTAAATGGTTGGCATCGCCGCACGATCAGCGTGAAGTGAAGCCTTGGTATCTTGGTATCAGCGGCTGGGTATAAATTGACCGCCCAAAGAACAAACCGCCGACCGCCTACCGCCTCCCTACAGCCTCCGGTCCACCCCCGCAATGTTTGACAAACCGCTCAGCCACTTCTGCACGTACACGCCATAGGGCTGCTGGATGCCGGTGGGAATTGGAGAGAAATAATGGCTATCAGCCTGGAGCTATGTTGGAGCTGTCACAACCGGGAACCAGTCCCCAGACTACGAAAACGCACTCGATTGCTCAGTGAGGCTCCACCCTCTCATTGTTCGATATCCACTCTGTTCCTGTTAGCTCCTCTTAAATGAGCCATCACTTACAAAGGTCATACCTTGTGGACAAGTCCAGCCCTTGTTCAGATAACCCGAGGATTCGCATGCATTATACCGTTCAGGAAACAATAATGAGTTGGTATCCGGCGGGATCTAGAACCCACATACAAGAAAATACCAACCCTGAAATGATGCTGCCTAAAGTCTTGTCTTTCTTAGGACTCCACCCCAGAGACCAGCTCATCGTACCAGCTAACCACGAGTCGTCCAGAATAACTGCAAAGGCGCCTCACTGGCAATCATGAGCCGAATGACATTCGATATAGTACATTATCACTAAAAACTACCTTGGGTGGCAGTAAGACAGCCTCTCAATCAGAAACCTCTTATAACCGTCTGACCATCAGTCCCGGCTCTCATCTGTGCCAAAATCATAGAAAAAAATCATATTGCCAGAACTAGAAGGGAATATTCAGTATAAATAAAGAAACGAAAAAATTATGGGTCCAGGATTCATGTTCGCGTTCTTGTCCGATGGATCAGCCGTCAAGGAAACCAAGTTAGCAGACGGTGATAAATAAACCGAGACTATGGCTTCTGGTTAGCTGGGGGTCTTTTAATAGATGATCATCGGAGTTTACTCACGGAGATGGGTTATAGTCCTCGAAGAAGTTGAGGTAGGTGTTACCCGTGCCCTTCATTTCATAACCCACGGTTTGACCAGCCGGGCACGAGAAAGAGGCAACCAGGTAGGAGTTTCCGGGTGAAATGGTAATCTCTCCATAGTCCTGTTTGACCGACGGAGCGCTGTTATACGTGGTCTTCAGCCCAGCAGCAGATGTCAGCTGAGAGAAGTCAACCTTGCCGTCACCACTGAAGGTGTAGTCAGAGGTCTCGAGATCCTCCTTATTAGGGAACAAGAAGATGAGGCTGCATGTCTTGCCGGAGTCAGAAGACGGGATATCAAAATTGAAGATGGTCGACACTGTGGACGAAACAGTGCCGAAGAGCTGAGAGCCATAGGCGGTATCAGGGGTGGAGGAGTTGACAGGGACAATGAGATGAGGATACTCATAGTCACCAGACAGGTCAGTTGGGCAGCTGGCAGCGCCTGACCGAGTAGCGGAAGCTGATGGTTGAGTACTGCTGGCGCCTCCAGATGTTCCTGAGGGAGCAGATTGAGTGCTCGCAGGCTGGGTTCCGGTGGGTTTAGTACCGGCAGGCTGCGTTCCACCAGGTGTAGTTCCTGCAGGCGTAGTACCGGCGGGCTGTGTTCCACCAGGTGTAGTTCCGGCGGGCTGAGTACCGCCAGGCTGAGTACCGGCGGGCTGAGTTCCTGCCGGCTGAGTTCCACCAGGTGTAGTTCCGGCGGGCTTGGTGCCGGCAGGCTGAGTTCCACTAGGTGCAGTTCCAGCGGGCGGAGTTCCGGCGGGCTGAGTTCCGCCAGGCTGAGTACCGGCAGGCTGAGTACTATGAGGAACACCTGGAACACTAGTTCCAGGAATTGGGATCGGAACAGGAATAGGCTGGGTGCCAGCAGGTTGAGTTACGCCAGGCTGACCGGGCCGAGTGCTAGCGGGCTGAGTACCGGCGGGCTGAGTTCCACCAGGTGCAGTACCAGCAGGTTGGGTTCCACCGGGTGCAGTACCGGCGGGTTGAGTTCCTGCAGGCTGAGTTCCTGCGGGCTGAGTGCCGGCGGGCTGGGTTCCACCAGGTGCAGTACCAGCAGGTTGGGTTCCACCGGGTGCAGTACTGGCGGGTTGAGTTCCTGCAGGCTGAGTTCCTGCGGGCTGAGTGCCGGCAGGTTGTGTACTCTGAGGAACGCCTGGAACACTAGTACCAGGAATTGGAATCGGTACAGGAACACCCGAAGATCCTGCTGCGCAATTGGATTGGATCACGGTAGTGGTGACGGTGACTGTCTGAGCGGAGGCACATCCAGCGCTAGGCACTGGTGCACTGGAGATAGGACCACCCGGGATCGAAGCAGAAGATTGACCTGGGGAAACCCCGCCAGGCACACCTGTGCCAGAAGCAGCGCCACCAGGGAGGGAAGCAGAGGATTGACCTGGAGAAACCCCACCAGGCACACCTGTGCCTGAAGCAGCACCACCAGGAACGGAAGCAGAGGATTGACCTGGAAGAACCGAGCCGGGTTTGCCAGTTTGGCCGGGCACCTGAACCGAGGATACTGCAGTAGCTGTGCCGCCGCCACCTCCAGCACCAGTACCAGAACCCGAGCAAGAATCGGCGGCCAGCGTGATGCTTGAGCATCCAGTCACCGAAGAGCTCTCAGTGGTATAGATGTTCAATTCACCGTTGTCACCCGTCTGGCATGCCACAAAGGTAGAGTCGCCCTGGTACTCCAGCTGACCGCCGGACGAAATCGAGAAGCCAGTCTGGGCGGTGGTACCTAAATCACACTGGAACTGAGTCACAGAGCCTGTCAGCGTACAACTGGTTAGCACTGTTTCTCGCTTTAGCATCGTCGGAAATTGAGACCTACTAGTCACGACACAGCCACGTCCGCTGCTATCAGTAATTGCACCATTCGAATCGATGCAGAACGAGGCTGCAGCAAGACCACCACCGAGACGATTCTGACCATCACCAAGTTGGCCCACCGTGCCAGATGCGGCGCCCGAAGCAGTCAGGTGGAAGCAGCACGAGTCGGCGCGGCTGACGAGGGCATTTCCTCCAGCAGCGAAAGCTGCAAGAGTTGCAAAGTTCTTCATCCTTGCACTAGCGAGCTTGGTCGGCAGCTAGGGGGGTGAATGGACTGGACGGCTTCCACTATAGGGCAAGGTTGTTGTTGTGACAAGAACTCAAAAGTGACATTCAGGGCATGTGCAATTCTTTATAAGAGATAGTGGATACAGGAACGTCATACTATATGTTCCGATACAACAAACAGGTCCCAGGGAACACGGCCAAGTACCTCCACATGTAGATCGAGGAAATTGAAGTAGACCGCAGCTAGTTGCGATGACTTTGCAAGGTCGACAAGACCATGGGCCCGATGAAGGGCCACCATGGGCCCAGCCAGACATGGCCGATGAGCGAACAGAAGTCAGCGAATTGGCCGGCAGGCTCGAGTCTGGACACTGTCGTGGGTCAGCAAGAGCACTAGAGTAAACGTCATAAAGTCCTGAGCATTGTGGATATGAGAACCCTTGTGAGTGGCTCTTATTTTGGCAATAAGGCAGTACTGTAAAAAGGCAGCCGTATCAGTGGCCGGGGTTCTCAGGGCTTCTCAAGCTCGGTGGAGCCGGCCCCATCGAGCGGTGCCTCTGGATCGGCCAGATGCCCTGCCTTGATCGATGAGCTCCCGATTGATGGGGTTTGAGCAGCGGTCAATTGCGACTCTGTGGCAAAACAACATACCATCCACGGTTTTGCCCGCCGTTCAGCGACCCATAGCAGGGTTCCATATTTGCCTCACACCAGGAACTGGACATTGATGTTCCCAGGAACGCGTTGTTTCTATTCATATTTACCCACCCGACATGCAAGCATGAACCCACCATCACAGAGCATATAGTGGGACAGGCTTTGTGTAGTAGGAGTACATTGCAAGGTACGATATGCACAACAAGCAAGGTCCGCGTAATGGAGGAAGCGGGCCTTCCGGTTGAAGCCATATGGCAAGTGGACAACGGCAATTTCGAATTCCTCTTCGAAGACATTACATCATTCCTTCCGTATACAGGCCGTGTTTTGGAGCAGTCTCTTCCACCACATGGTGTGAGGAGTAGTGCGCTGACAACAATTTGGCTCGACAGGAGGTTTCCGTCGGACATCAACTGCCTAGGGTAGGCGAGTTTCCCACCCGTCTGTGTGTCATCATGGGATAACCGAATGTGATTGCAGCATCAGAATTCCGGTATGAAGGAGAGAGGGGGGATGGGGGGGGGTGTGGATGGTGTGGATGAGAGAATCGGAAGAAGGAAGAGTTCCAGTTGAGTTAGTTTCATCTGAAACAGACAGGAAAGCCAAGTGACGGAGACACCGGAACTCATTCGGGGGGAGTGGGGGTTGGTGGGAGGAGGGGGAGTGAGGAGTGGAGGAGTGGAGGAATGGTGGGACTCAGCAGGGGAAAAACAGGGGATGCAGCCACTCATCGTACAGCCACATCAGTCATTGTTGTAGAAAGTGGGCCATGACGAAAGCCACAGCCAACGGCATTGCTTCTGGTTGGATTGTTTGATGGGGATGTGCATTGTATTCATCATCATCATCACCACCATTCAAGACTATTTTTATTTCTCAGCTGCTCATCTAATAACAATCGCTAAGAAATATCCCAATGCCCTTCTTCCATTCCCTCTTTATTCTTCTTCTAGATAAATATATGTCGATCGACTTACCACGTCATTCGGAATTCTGTGTATCGCGGTGGTTGTCTGTGCGCTACAAGCTTGCAGCACAGTCAGTGATTGAGAAAGGAGGATATGTTATAAATAAAGAGCACTTGCAATTGATTGCCAGGTACTGTACACAGACTATACAGCCTTGTGCGGCTGGGTTCCATAAGGTTTTAGTCCGATGTTTACTGGTGGATTCTATAGGTAGCTTCACTTCTTAATTCCACCTCTTTCTTGTTATGCGAACCATTGTAGGATGATAGTACTATGTAGTCGTATTTGAGTCCACGAAAGTATACCAGACCTGGAAGGATTCTCACATGCGCCTCTAACAAAGCTAATTGACTACCTATAAATTAACTCTGATTCCCAATGGATTGACGTAAGTGATACTTAGACCATCCTTGCACCTACACATAGTTGAACATCTACAGTAGTACGAAGAGTTGACTCCGATACTCTCCCCTATACCTATTCAAAAAAGAATCTAGTTATTCCCTTTCCTTTAATCGAAGAAGCGCAGAGTGATTTAGCATTGAACTGAACGTATAGTACTCCACACTGTACATGTACTGAGTATCTCAGCTTCTCCCCCGCGCACAGGGACCGTTACGTATGCTTCTACCATCATATCATGATCCTCCTAGGTCCTTCCCATTCCATCCATAATCACACACTGATTTACTCAGTACAAATTCCCGCATTCCTGCTGGCAGTTCTCGGGTATTCAAACCAAATTTTTACCAGTCAATCTAGCCTTCGGAGTCAAAGTCACCAGACCCACACTATCCAGAACCCCCAAGTGCCGGAAGGGAAGGGAAACTTCCATCGGCTTTTTTGTTTTTGGGAAGAAAAAAAGAAAGAAAAACAATGACAACATGGGATCATCCGATCCACCCACATCTTTGACCCTGTCCGATCGAGAAATGGCAGCCGTCATTGATTTCCAAGCCAGTCTTCCCCTCTTCATGGACCGTGGATAGACCAGATCCTGCATAGTTCTCTCCCCAACTACAACATACTGTCAAGTACATAACCATGAAAAAGAGGGCGAGAGACATTGCCTACGAGTAATATATTGAGAAGACACAATCGTGCCGTACTCATACGAGCCAGCTCCCTTACCCTCCCTCAGCATGTTACTCATACATGCATGATCCACTCGTCAATGGCTCGTCACCAAAAACAAGTACTTGGTGACTCGTGCTGATCGATTGACTGTACCTGCCTAGAGAGACGATGGGTTGTCAAATGCTGTGTCGATTGGATGGAACAATGGGCGGGGAGTGCCATCAATCCATGGATAAACATCACTGACGTCGATGTCAGTTACAGATCACTTCCCTTAGGACATGTATTTCCCGCACTGGAGGCATAAGTATTGCAGGAAGTGGTACGCAAGCGATTCTCCACTTACATGCAGGGAATCATAAAGTTGTCGATTTTTTTTCTTCTTGACTTACAGGTATCAAAGACTTGTTTATGGGGGGTGAGTTTGCCGAACCTGATCAATTGCATGGAGCTTCTTACGACGACAAAACTATGTTATGTGGCATTGACTTAATTCAGCAGAACGGGTGCCGTTCATCTGCAAGTTCAGGTTGTTGGATAAGGATGAATGGAGTGAGCAAGAAAGTTCGAAGGCGTTGAGTCGTGACCGCTGATGCACAGAGATAGAGTAGCATTTCCTACGTAGATGGCGCCTCCAAGGTCGGGTTATGAGATAATCATAGAGATGTTGAGGGTGAAACGTAACCGTATAACCACTGCTTACTGTTTGTAAGTACTCCGTAGAGTCCAATACATCCAATAACGGAAATGCAGTCAGAGAGCCCTTGGTCCTTGATCTTGGACGTTCAGCGCTGTGAGCATACCACGAGGTACTGTATACTCAGACATAAGGCTGAAGTCCAATGTCTACAGAGAAATTCCTCAGTGCAATACATCAACGTGAGAAAGAATGAATATGTATTGCCAATCACCATGCAATGTATATAATGGGTATCTGACTTCCAATTGCATCTGATGTTTTTATTGACCTACCTCATGCGCGCGGCCTTGAACTTACTCACACGCCTGGGAGCCTCTTCTGTGTCGAGAGGGACGATTTCGGGCTCTTCGTCCACGAATCCGCCTTGTTCCTTGATCATGCGATTGCGGATCTGGTAAAATTCAGTAGCAATCTCCTTCCGATGCAGCTGTTCATCAAGCTCGTCTGGTTCCGGTGCCACGGCAGACGTCTGAGAAACATCACGTTCAACAAGGGTGTCTGCCAGAATTTTGCCTTCTGGGCCTCTGGGTGCGGGGTCTTCCTCAGGATTGGCTGAGATTGGCAGGGAGAAGGGTTTAGGCTCCGCTGGCCTGGCTGGGAAAAGAGGCAGGGAGGATGGCGCCGCAGAGGAGGTGCCAGTCTTGCGTAAAGACGAGCGAAATTCGACGGGCCGGGAAGGGCCAGCTGAAGTCCCTGACGCAGTGGCTGGCTTCACTTCACTGTCGTCCGTTTTCCGAGCGCTCTTGAACCGAGAGACTTTCTTCGGTGCGTCTTTAGTCACTGGCTCCTTCGCAACAGGCTCTGTGCGTTCAACCACGGAATCTGCAAGAACAGGTACACTAGATTCACGAACTGGGACAACCTTCTTATCCTGAGTCGGAGGCCTCGGGGCCGGAGCGATGTCGAGGTCGTCAGCAAAGGCAACCTTCTTTTTCGCCTTCTTCTCGGGCACAGGTCCGGTGCCTGCCTCGGTGGTCTTCTCAACACGAACCACACTGGGCTGCTCTAACTCCGCTTTGACGTCAGTGGGGAGAGAGTCGGTGTTCTTGCCAATGTTCCACAGTCCTCGCGCGTTCAACTTGGCTTCCAACTCGCGCATTTCGCGGTGGTAATCCTCATCAAGAACACGTGTCGTAGTTCTCCCATATTCATCTTCCTCCTCTTCGTCATCGTCGTAAGGGTAATCATCGTATTCTTCGTCCACAGAAACGTCGCTTGCATCCTCGTCAAGTTCCAGTTCGGCGACGACCGCTCCAACTTCATTTAGGCTATACTGCAGCATATCGCGCCGTAGTTGGGCATCCTCTGGCGATTCCTCAATGCTTGCTGCAAGACGTTGGTACTCTAGGAGACCAGCTGCATCCATTGAGGGAGGCTTAGGGTTGCTCTCGGGAGTAGTCGCTTCCGGCATTTCCTCCTCCTCAATAGCTGGGGGTGTTACCTCCTCCACCTCAAGTGCAGTCGGGACTTCTTCCGTAGCGGGTTCTTCCGTAGTCCTTGCAGTATGCTGCGACGAGTCTTGACGTGTCGGATTCACATTCGCCGTGTCCGGTATATCGGTGACACCGGCTTTTTGCAAGATATTCAAAAGCTCAGAAGCCTGGCTGCCTGGGGTGTTTGTTGTACTCGAGATGACATTACCGTTTTCGTCAAGTTCTTCAAAGATCTCGGTCATCGGGTATTCGGCCGTGCTTTCATTCGGTAGTTGTTCCTGCGAGTCCAGCGCATACAGTTCGTTCTCTGCGGCGCGTAGTCTCTTCTCCATTGTCGCAACATTTTGTTTCACATAGTCAATACGTCTGTTGATCAGATTGACCACCTGTCCTTTGGTGCGCGTCACGCCGTTTTTCTCGCCAAGTATCACCTTCACCTCATCCTCAGTGACCAGCGATCCGCCGAGGCTGTGACCCACGCTAAGGAAGTCTTCGCAATCCGCATCTTCAGGTAGATCATTTATCTCCTCTTTGAGGCCGTCGTACTCTGCCTCCCAGGTGCGCCAGTGGTAAAGTGAGTCCTGGAGTTTCAAAATGTTGCCTTCGAGTTCTAGGCGCTGGCGCTCGAGTTCGTGTAGCTGGCTGTCGGGAACACCCATGATGATATTCATGAAAATCAAGTCTCGAAAATATACCGAGCGAATGACTTGTACTAGAGTTCAAGACAAGGTGTATTTCACCTAATAAGGAAAGTTTGTGTGAATCAAGGTCAAAGACCAAAGGTGGACGGAGAGATGAGTGGGAGGCGGCGGCGGCAAAGAAAAAAGTTCCGCCGCGGAACAATGGGCGGAATGCCTGATTGGCCCGTGCGGGCAGTTGGATTAATCACCGGTCATTTAGGCTTCATTGCTGCGACACCTACGGTCTGTTTAACACTTACTCTGCTCTGCCTTGGTCTTAATCAGATCTGCGAGCTGTCAACTATGCCTTCTGCTCGAGATGCTATGGCCAACCGCGGGGATGACGACGGTATGGTTGTTTGCCCTGCATCGGAATCCCCCTCCTATTTGTGCTAACCAGCTCTCTTTAGAGGTGTGCCCTGTTTGCAAATCCTCACGGTACTTGAACCCGGATATGCAGTTCCTTATCAATCCGGAATGTTATCACAAAATGTGCGAATCGTGTGTGGACCGCATATTCTCCTCAGGCCCGGCAAACTGCCCCGTTGCGGGTTGCCACAAGACGCTGCGAAAGGCTCGGTTTCGGAAGCAAACGTTCGAGGATATCAACGTGGAACGAGAGGTGGACATTCGGCGCAGAGTGATGCAAATGTATGCCGTCAAGCCATTTGTCTGGTGACCTTGCAGGATACTGATACTGTCCGCAGTCTCAACCGCCGTGAAGAAGAGTTCGACTCCAAACGAGCCTGGGACGACTTCCTCGAACAGCGTGAGGAGATCATCGCAAATCTCGTACACGGCACCGATGTGGCTAAGACCGAAAGCGACCTCCAGAAATATGCATCGGAGAACATGCGCTCAATCCGCGCCAATCAAGCCCTCGAAGCGCAGGAAGCCTCGTCTTTCAAGGAGCAGCAGACACATGAGCAGGAACTGGCCCGTCTTCGCCGAGAAGCAGCCAAACAAGAATATGAGAACGAACGGCGGGAGCTACAAGCCTCTCGGGAGGATGTTCTCTCTCGTCTCGCAGCCGGGCGACCTGGCGACGCTGCGGCTATTGCACGCGAAGGCAAGAAGGTGTTGCTCAAGAAATCATCTGCTCGGCGAAGTGAGGAGGATCGGATCCGACAGAAACAGGCTGCTCTCCGGAACTCGGATGCTAGGAAAGCTGGTCAGGGAGGACTCACGGCTGATAAGGCCGACATTGCTGGCAATTCGGGCTTGATCAAGGGCCTCAAGAAGATCGTGACTCCGGAACCCGAAAAGCCTTACGACCCATTTGGTGGCATGATTCCCAACAAGCGGGACTACTATACTTTGCGCGACTTCTATCCGTCAAGCTATCTGGACCCTATCCGACAGGACACTCGTATGCAGGCAGGCGGGTACGATCTACAGGAGTACTACTCTCGTACATTGATGGAAGCTTTCGCTGGCTTGGGCTGCTTTATCGATGAGGAGGTGGCACAACGTGACGGTGCAGGGTCTCTTGGGGGCTCCAGACCGGACGCCACTCAAGGGGCTGCCCAGGCGGCAGTTTCAAGTACGGGTACTCCAGAAGCCAGCTGACTGGCGTTATACATTGTTGAGCCCACTGAAGAAAATGTCCCCTGCTGTTATCTCTGCGCTTCTACTTCGCAGGGAAGGTAGCCTCACCTGTGTTGTTGTATATAATGCATAGCGATGGCGTTTTGATGGGATTTGGGTGCTTCATTGGGGTATAGAGATAACGGACTTGATAATGGATATGATTGATCTAGGTATACAAACAAAGGCAAAGCTAACACCAAGTCAGAGGACACTATTTAACAAGGTCAAAACATCGACGTGTGGTACATAGAACGTAATGTACAACCCTCCCCATAAGCACAACCATCTAGAACTTGCCACCGGTGATCTCCTCTCCGAGCTTCTTGATTCTGCCCTGAATGGCGTCCCAGCGAGCAGATTCACTCCTGCTAGTTTCGTGAACAAGGCTGGAGACAGATTGGGGGTGGCCCAGGTTCCAGATGTTGTCACCCGCCTGGTGGTCGTTGCGCCAGGCCTCGTTTTCGCCCTCGGGGAAGACCCTTTCAATCTCGGCCGCAAGTTGTTCCTCGGTAGTAATGAACTGCCGTGCATTCACGTACAGATCGTGCAGATTGCTTCGGCGCTCGGCATTCTTCAGACTTTCCTTCTTCTCAAGTCGACGTCGAGAAAAGTGCAGACGGGATTCTCGACCAGGATCCGGCAGCACCTGCATGCGCTGGGGCAACATGGCTTGGACTACCGACGTCTGAGTCAGCCTCACGTCCGCCCTCGCAGGCTGTCGCATGATCTTTTCCCGGTATCGCTGCTTGTGCTCGCTTTGCTCCTTCATGGCTTTGTCAGTGGCCTGCTTGCGGGCGTGCAACTCCAAAATGCCCTCCTTGAAGTTCTTCCTCCGCATATTAGCCATCTTCCGCTGCTGGTCGCGGTATTCATAGTCCGGGTGGTTTGGGTTGAGCGAGTTCTTGTGGGGAAGAGGCGTCGCGGCGTGAATGTACGCCTCCGTCGGCTTGTCCGTGCGGCGGGCAGGGAAGATTTCACGGGGAACTGGGAGGGTACCCTTGACGCGGGGCTTAGAGGGTTGTTCGGGCTGCAGAACTCGAGGAACATCGATGAAATTGGGAGACTCAGGTCCGACTCGCAAAGAGGCCGATGAAGCGAAGCCGCGGAACTGCACAGTGGCAGTTCTGCAATTGCGAAAGAGGGCCATGATGATAAAACAAGGTCGCTCGACTGTCTGGAGATGTTTGGGCAAAATCAAGTCGGGGGGTATCGAGAGGTATTTTGCTGAGAAACTCAATTGGATGGCCCACCTCAATCAACCGACAACCTGAACCGATACAGAGATCCTGAAAGGACTTATTGGCAAGCGCGGTTCTGCTGCGGAAGTCGGACAGAACGAAACGATTTTCCTGATTCTGGTCCGTGCACCGCTTAGCTTGGCGCGCGCCAATGGCAGAAAAAAAAATTAATTTTCCCGCGCTTGAAACTTTTTTTTCTCTCTCTTCTTCTTTTCCTTCTTGCGCTCCGCCATTTTTTGTTTTACAACACTATTTTTTTGTGAACTTCTTTTCAAAACTTCTTGAGGTACTCTTGGGAGGTGTTTTCGTCATGGGTACCGGAAAGAAGGAAGCCACTCGTAGAGAGCGGCAGGGGAAGACTGGAGATGGCATGGGAAATGTTCGCACCAAGGGTGAAAACTTCTACAGGTGAGTAAAATGATGGCGTGAATCCCTGCTCCGAAATGCTGGACTAACATGTCATGAAAGAGATGCGAAGAAGGTGAAGCATTTGAACATGTTGAAGGATGGAAAGCCTCGACGTAACGCTGAGGGAAAGATCACTGTGGCTGCTTCATACCAATCTCGTGAAGCTCCGGTCGCTAGAATCGAGCCCAACCGTAAATGGTTTGGCAACACGAGAGTGATCTCCCAGGAGGCTTTGTCGTCTTTCCGCGAGGCGGTTGCCGAACGTGCTTCCGACCCCTATTCAGTCTTGCTCAAGACCAACAAGCTTCCCATGAGCCTGATCAGAGATGATAAGGGCGCCAATGGGTTGAAGCAGCATGAGGCCAAGATGGCTATTGAGAATTCTCCTTTCAGTGACACCTTCGGGCCCAAGGCGCAGAGGAAGCGTGTCAAGATGGGGGTTGCCTCTTTGGAGGACCTGGCCGGCGAAACCGTCAAGATGCACGACGCTTACGTCGAGAAGACAGACCATGCTACTCATGAAGATGGTACTTTGGTTGTCAACGGTGATGATGTTGCAAAGGATGACAATTCCGGTTTGGCAACCACCGCCGTTGAGTCTGTCTTCTCCAAGGGTCAGAGCAAGCGTATCTGGAATGAGCTTTACAAGGTCATCGATTCATCCGATGTTGTACTTCATCTACTTGACGCTCGTGATCCCGATGGTACACGATGCAGGAGTATCGAGAAGTACATCCGTGAAGAGGCTCCTCACAAGCACTTGATTTTCGTCCTGAACAAGTGTGACCTTGTTCCTACGGGTGTGGCGGTACGTCTATTTCTCTTTTATGTTACTTTGTTCTTTTTACCCCTCGTTCTATCCTTTATAAAAATGGGGTTTCGGCCCAATGCCATTGCTAAGTCAAGGCTTCTCCCTACGACCTTGTGTCGTGTTTTTCTTCCTTGGGAGTATGTCTGTTACAGCTCTGGCAGATTGACGCTGATCCGCGCCGACCTTCTTTCTGAAGCTAGGCTGGCTGGTTTTCGTTTTGAATACCAGTCGTAAGGATCAAGCTGTGTTTTGTTTTTGAGTTGAGATCTGCTTCTACTCAATGAGTGGCCCATAGCAGTTCTCTTAGTAACATTTCACACATTTTCTTGCCATCTATCATTCTCGTCCTTTTTGCTTATTTCTCTCTACGCTATTGTTTGCAATACAATACCGTTAGTGTTTACTTGCTAACGTGACACCAGGCTGCTTGGGTACGACACTTGTCGAAAGACTATCCTACTCTAGCTTTCCACGCCTCGATCACCAACTCTTTTGGTAAAGGTTCTTTGATCCAACTTCTAAGACAATTCTCCTCCTTGCATTCCGACCGCAAGCAGATTTCTGTCGGTTTGATTGGATATCCAAACACTGGAAAATCTTCAGTCATCAACACTTTGCGGAAGAAGAAAGTGTGTACCGTGGCCCCAATTCCTGGAGAGACCAAGGTCTGGCAGTACGTTACCTTGATGAAGCGGATCTACCTCATCGATTGTCCTGGTGTGGTACCAGCCAGCTCGAACGCCACTCCCGAAGATATCCTCCTTCGAGGTGTGGTTCGAGTGGAGAACGTAGAGAATCCCGAGCAGTACATCCCGGCCGTTCTCAAGCGAGTGCAGCCCAAACACTTGGAGCGTACATACGGCATCAAGAATGTCGAGGATCCTATCGAGTTCCTCAGTATCCTCGCTCGCAAGGGTGGTCGTTTGCTCCGTGGAGGAGAACCTGACCTCGATGGTGTCGCCAAGATGGTCATCAACGATTTCCTCCGGGGAAAGATCCCCTGGTTCACTCCCCCGCCTCACAATGCCGGTGGGGAGGACGAGGCGATCGAGGGCCGTGCTGGTCGGCTCGGAGAAATGAGTCGGAAGCGCAAGCTCGACGACACTACCTCCGAAAAGCCAGAGGGCTCTAAGAAGGCGTCGAAAGAGAAGGCTTCTGAAACTGACAACGACGAATTCGAGGGCTTCGAGAGCGACGACGATGATGACTCGATCGCGAACCTTGAAATCAGCGATGAGGAAAGTGGCGAAGAAGACGATTAAGTGTTTTCATTGTCGAGATCCTTGTCAAAGACTGTCAACGAACCAAGTACCCCCGATGCCGTCTGTCATCTGGCATCAATCCCGAGACGTACACCCCTGGTGGCGCATGTCGCTCCACAACTCCCATGACGTATCCCAAGGTCTTGTCATACCTTGACTTTGGGTGGGAGTTGAAAGCCACATGCGTCGAAGCGTCAATGACGCGAACTCGTTTGAGAACCCGAACACCGTCAGGCCTCTTGAGCCTAGCACTGGTTCCATATGAAATCCGCTGGCATGCCACCTGGACAGTTCTTGGCCAGTGCAACGTAATGCTTCAGCTCGGAGAGCATTGGTTGTCAGGCCGATCAATGCCTCAGCCAACCTGATTCTCCTTATTTAAAGATACCCACTGAGTGTTTTCACACGAATACTTCGAGCAATCCAAGCAATCAATCAATCAATCAATCATCCTGAAACAAGGTGGTCTGATTCAAGAAAAGACTGGTTCTTCCCACCGTAAATCCACCCGTAGATACTTTCCAATAGGGCAGATTCCTCACCGCCGACGGAGCTCACGTGGGGCTACCCCAGCCTCCTACGAGTGTCTCGTCTCCGTAGCAGCTGCCAGAAGATACCTTGCATTTCCTTTATATCACGACGCATTAACCTGGGCTATTTATCCGGCCTTTCATGTCTGTGTGTGCCTTCTGGATATGCTACTCTCCCCGTGACAATGGAGGATGAGGGCATGTCCATTGTTCCCTATGGATCAGGCAATCTCGATGTCGTGCTGTAAGCCAGCTTTCCTCGTTCCCCCTTCTCTCCTTTGTTCAGAGAACAGAGGTCCTAACGTGAAGGTCTTGCTGTAGGCGACACAATGACTCAGTTGTGGTTTATGATCGCGACTCGCGGCAACTGGTTCTCCAGAACACCGCGGATCGGAGGGGCAGTGACCTCGATCTGACCGACTGTCCTTACTGCCATCGTCCTTTGCATGAAAATGGGTCACCCCAAGGTGATCATGCGAATAGCCCGGGCGCGCAGGCGGAATTTGTAAATCCCGACTACTTTCGACTGCTACATGCTAGCTTACCTGGCTCTACGGACTCGTCCAATCCTCCATCCCCTCGTCGCCGTCTCGTTCAGCCAGCTATCGCGGACGGCCCGACTATTGATCCTAGCTATCCAGAGACCGGCGTCCATACCAGTCAGGGGATTTCGTCGGCGGCCTTTACACAGGATTACTTCAAGAAGTTCTTCGTCGAAGAGACGATTCTGGGCAAAGGCGGCAAGGGCGTTGTCCTTCTGGTGAAACACGTACTGGACGGTGTCTCACTTGGCCATTACGCTTGTAAGCGGGTTCCTGTCGGAGATGACCATGAGTGGCTTGAGAAGGTACTAGGTGAGGTGCAGCTTCTACAGCACCTTTCGCATCAGAATCTTGTCTCCTATCGACATGTGTGGTTGGAAAATGCAAAGATCACCACCTTTGGGCCCAGTGTGCCATGCGCGTTCATACTTCAGCAGTACTGCAACGCGGGGGACCTCCACAATTACATCTGTGGTGCAGTGCAGACCCCTACTACAAAACAGCAGCTCAAAGAGCGTCTGAGAAGAAGGTCAAGGGGCGGACTTGATCCTGAGAACGATCTTGGGGCGCTACGAAAGCTCCAATTCGAGGAAATATATTCCTTCTTCAAAGATATTACTTCCGGAATCCGATATCTCCACGCCAATGGCTACATCCACCGTGATCTCAAGCCCCACAACTGCTTGCTACATAAAACCAGTGATGGGATCCGGGTCCTAGTTAGTGACTTTGGTGAGGTCCAGGCTCAAGATTCAATCAGAAGGTCGACTGGCGCGACAGGGACTGTTTCCTACTGCGCACCGGAAGTTTTACGGCGCGAGTATCCCGATGGTCCTTTCGGGAACTTCACTTTCAAGTCCGACATCTTCTCTTTGGGAATGATTCTGTACTTTCTCTGCTTTGCGCAGCTCCCCTATAGCAATGCAGACTTGATCCACGAGGAGAAAGAGGACCTGGACCGACTCCGTGAAGAGATCAGTCAATGGTCGGGGTTCGACTATGCTAGACGCATGAGGCCCGAACTCCCCGAACAGCTCTACATATTCCTTCAGCGCTTGCTGTCCGTGGACCCTGATCGCCGACCCTCAGCAGAAGAAGTACTTAACGGTCTTCAGGCTGGGGCTAATGTCAATGAAAACTTCCGCTTGAAGCGGGCCAGCCCAACCAGCCCAGATATGCGCCCCAGCTCCCGGATTCACCCGGTAGAGAGGCCGTCTGCTGCATCATTTACTCGCCAGGCCTTGTCGCCGAATAGGGCCCTCACGAGACCACCGCCGAGTGCACGGCGGGGTTCCGCATACGATAGTACTAACACGGATGCTGTTAGAGCCGATTCTACCTCCACCTCCCTTAGCCCGGAACGAAACCTCATTTTCCGCCCGCGCTTCTCGAATACTCCCTCGTCCTCACTCACACCTGCTCACCATCCTCCTGAGGAACATCGCCACGAAGTGACCCCCCCTGACCACTCTAACACGGTCGAAGAGCCCCAGCAACAACACCTACTCCCACCTCCCCCTCCACGTCACTGGTTCTTACAGAGATACTTCCCGTTCCTCGAGCCTCTGACAATTTCCGTAGCTAACTGGCAGTTTGGAATCACAATCTTTCAACTGACCATGTTCCTTCTCAAAATAATTTCTATATTTCAACCCTGCAGCCCGTTGACTGTCAACCCCTGGGTTGTTTATCCCCTACTGTTAGTGGCGGCGGTCAACTTCCCAGCGAAAAGCTTCACCAGGCAGTTGGTCTCGCTGATGCTGCATCTCGTGGTTGTAAGTCTATGTATGCAGATGGATGCGCTTTGTTGGAGGACGTACAGGCGGTGATCTCGTACCAACCTGAGGGCCTTTTTCCTGGGCTGATGCTCGTATCTGGAATGAAAGGACGCGGAGACCAGATTGCGAAAGGAAGAGGTGTGACATTCGATGCTTCGGTGCATAACTTCGCATGGTGTTTTGAAGATGCGCCTGTGGCTGACGAAATTATGTGCCCATGACCATTGAATACATTAATAGACTGTTCAGGGTAGTCACCGCAAGTAATCTCCTTTCCTGCGAGCGAATCTCTCGCCGCTAGAGGCCGGGGTCCATCACAGCCCAGTAGTATGGAACCTACCATAGAAAGCCTAACCTTCATCGATAGGGACAATATAATAGATGCTGTCCGGGTAATGGTAGCTCTCCAGCTTTTATAGATTTATGACATGAAGTAGTGAAAAAGGGGCACACTTTCTTAAGCTGCTATCAGAGCAATACTACACACACAGACAAGTACCCTTACCAGGGTCGCGGGTGGGACAAGCTACTTCCGCTTCCGGATTCCAGGTAATTCCCGAATAATTTTCTAGTAAACCCTTAACTTAGTGGTTACAGCCATCTACATTGAACCTAAGATATTGGGTGACATGACTTATAGAAGTCGACGCTCCATGCAGTGCAGCTACCCCGCTACGCGATGCTGTTCCCGTCTCATTGGTCAACTCGTATCATCCTCGCATGGTCCATCTGACCAGCTCTTGTATACGCACGAGTATATTCCGTACTATACACCATCTTTGTATAAAACGGAGCTGATGGGAAGCTACTGAACCTGTCTAGTCATTGCTTTAATTCTTCCATGAGACGTGATCCACTATCCTCTACCACCTCTCCCCACACTGACAATGTTTCCCCAGTCGGTGTTGGTCTTCTTTTTCCTTTTATCCCTGCCTTTCGTGTGCAGTTATCACATCATCTGGGGACTTAACTGCTGGATTGTCCGTCAAGACCACCTAGAGCGCACCAGGAGAGGCTTGCCGGTGCTTTGAGTGATCTCTTCACACGAAAAAGACACACCTACGCTGCTAACATCTTGATCCAAATGCATTCGACAATTCGAGAGATAGGTCACCTCGTGCTGTCAAGACTTTACGAGCCGTTGGCTACTCGACCGCTGCGCTTCCTCTATACGAATCTTGTATTTGCGTACGACTTTATATGCAACGGCTCTGGGACTTGGGCCATCAAGGGCTATCGTCGGATCGTCAGACGAGCATCGAGGCGGTTAGGGCGCTTTCAAATGGAAGATTGCGGCGCTCAGATGCTGGGAAGGAGAAAGGCATTTCCTTCGCGGTACCTAAATGCTCGCATCGACTCAATCTTGGCCAGGACCCGTGTGCTCTGCTCACATTCTCCTTATTCCCTGAGCAATATTTCGCCGAGCACGGTGTGTTTTCCATTCTGCATTTCAGGAAGTGGACATTTCTTCAGGCTTTGTCTCAAATGTTACTTCGTCAACACGAGAAGAACTAGGTCATGGACCTATGGATCAGTCAAAGGACTTTGCTTTGAGATTACTTTTGAATACATTTGCATCTGCGGGGCGAAGGACTTGATTCATGTACACGTTCACGGCGTATTTATCTCTATCTTCATGTGCAACTTAGCTCGCTTAAACATCAGTGCATCGATCGACGGGCAACATCCGGCAAATCATAGCCTCGGCCGGATAGTCTGGCCGCCCTCCCAGAATTCTCCCGCCTCCAGCGTCTGCCACCCAGCGACGGAGCCGGCCTCGACACAGATCATGTTCTTGTAAGCCTCATCCGGACCAAAGTCGGCCATTCCCTTGGCCTTCTCGATCCAGGGGTTCCACACCACAACATCGGTCAGGGCTTCCCGGGTAATGGAGAACAGGGGTTGGTCATCGGAGACCGTGGTAACCTCAATCGGAACCTTCGGGTCAAGGGACTTGTACACCCGATCGGTCTCCTTGTCGATCTCAACCGCAGAAGAGGCTTCCGTCTGAACGGCACCACCTTGGGTCTTGTCGACATACTCCTTGGACTGAAGGTTCTTGACGCGGATCTGCGAGATGTCCTATATTGCCTTCTGTCAGTCTCTCCTCTCGCAAGATACTTGCACTGATCAGGGGTGTCTGAGAACGCACCTCAACGCTCAGATAAGTATGCAGCAGAACCTGGAATTCGAAGTTCTGCTCGCCCTTGTTCTGCACCTGCAGGGATGTTTCGAGACCCTCCTTGGTCAGGGTGACACTGTACACCAGACCAAACTGGTAGGGCCACGCCTTCTGGAACTCCTCGCTCAGCATGGGGTGCGACAGCCCGAAGTCCAACTTGACCGCGTCATCTCCTTCTTTGCGGTCCTTGCCGAGGGACTCGGACGAGGACTTGCCCAAAAACTCCCAGTTCGAATTCCGTGCAAAGCCGTGTTGCGGGAGGGAGGATGTAGCGTGGTTCGAAGGGGGAGGGCCGAAAACCTGCAGTGAGCCACGGCCGCGGCACCCGTTAGACACCTGTTGTTCTGTTGCGGGATTGAAGGTCGCTGGGATTGGGATTGGACTTACCGGGAAGACCACGGGGATGCCGCCGCGGATGGGCTTGGAGCCATCCAGGTGAGCCTTTTCGCTGACGAACAATTGCTCCTTGCCATTGGCAAGCTTCCAGGATGTGACGGTCGCTCCATACAGGTGGACGGTGACCGACTCGCCGGTGGGCAGGGTGGCCTGGACCTTGTTGTCGTGGAAGTTGACGGTGGGCTGAGGGATGGAGGCACCCACCCCGATGGCGGAGGGCTTGTTGGAACGGTCCATCTTTGTAGGTGGAAAATGTATCAGATAGCAGTTGCTTAGGGGAGGGACTAGTCAGGAAGGGTGACTCGAATGCGTAGCAAGACAGCGTTTCTCTCTCTTCTGTCTGTTCTTTAATGCGGGGGACTGTTGTTGGATGCGCCTGAACGGGCGGGGCAGCAGCGTCACCGTGGGGCCCTTCGCGGCTTAGGTCAGCACACATATATGCGGATAACCCCTTGCCTATTATAGAATTATGCTACATAGTCACGGTGCAGGATATCCAGGACGCTTTATATTGTTGACAAAACAGACATTTTGCCTCCACTGGAACCAACTTAGACAATATTCCAGCTTTTCACAAGTAATAACCTGTCACTGCTGCTGTTTCAGTCGCATGGGTCATCAAGAGGAACCACCGCCGCTATTGTCCGTCCATCCAGCATTCTCCGACCCATCCGCGGTCTCGAAAACGTGCCAGGCGTCCGATCTGGCAACATCTGCTCCTTGCCGTCCTCAAGAGCTTGCAAGAGTCCATTATGACTGGTCTAATACAGCTTAAGGTATTTCTGAAAATATAGGCTGAGAAAGTACAGTATCTTGATTGGAGCAATCGTCATCGGCAATCAAAATGGTTGATGATTGCACCATCAGAGCCCGCGCGGGGTCGGTGTTGACAATACACATACTTCAAAAGCACTGAAGATGCACTTTACTCTGATCATATTCCCCTCAATTGCTCGCTGTGATAAAGCATTATCTCATCGACAAACGTCCAGCCCAACATGACCACCACTGTGACAATCACCGCTCAACAACCTGATATTCAGTACGCCCCCGACGTGGACAAATGGCATGCTCGCACTGAGCGTCGCTTACGCACTGAGACTCTTCCTACTGAGCTTCCTTCTGGCTTTCCGGCAAAGCTTGAGTCAGATCTAGTCTGGGAGGGCAGGGACATCGCAGCGCGGTATAACTGGACTTACGTCCTGACCGAGGCAGATCTCGAGGAGATTGACGCTGCAGTGCGGTATTTCAAGTGTACATTCTCCTTTGATCCATGCCTTGCAAATACATCTCCTTGGATTTTGTCTGATACTGCTGCTCATAGCGTTGAACAAACCCCTTGGCTTCATTGATCCGGAGACCTTCCCTCTACCTGCGCTGCACTCAACACTACGTGATATCTCGCAGGAGCTTCACAACGGACACGGATTCAAGGTTGTCAGCGGTGTGCCGGTCGACAAATACTCGCGCGAAGACAACATCATCGTTTATGTGGGACTTTCCGCACATGTTGCCCCGATCCGCGGCCGCCAGGACTCGTCCTATGACGGTACGCCGGCAGACGTGATGCTCAATCACATTAAAGACTTGAGCACCCAGGAGCAGAGCAAAGGCCGCATCGGGGCGCCAGCGTATACCACCGACAAACAAGTCTTTCACACTGATGCGGGGGATATCATCTCCCTGTTTGCGCTAAATACGGCCGCGGCGGGCGGCCAGAGCAAGCTGGCCAGTAGCTGGCGTGTGTACAATGAATTGGCGGAAACGCGACCTGACCTCATTCGGACGCTCGCGCAGAATTGGACTCTTGATGGGTACGAGATAGCTTTTGATATGTTAAAGTGAAAAGATGAGTGTGCATTTGTGCTGACTTTATATTGTGGCAGATTCGGCAATCCTCAGAACCCATATCACGAGCGCCCGTTACTCTTCCATCAGGCAGCTACTAGCACACAGCCTGAGCGCGTCCTGATTCAGTATGCGCGACGCAGCTTCACTGGATTCCAGGACCTGCCCAGGTCCAAGAATATTCCTCCGATCACTGAGGCGCATGCGGAGGCCCTCGATTCGTTGCACTTCTTGGCCGAGAAGTACGCAGTCGGGCTTGACTTCCGCAAGGGTGACATTCAGTACATCAATAATCTGAGCATCTTCCATGCTAGAGATGGGTTTCAGGACACCCCGGAGCAGCAGTAAGTATTCACCTTCTATGGTCGAGGCTTGTTTTAGCAATCGGCTGATAGACTATCAAGGCGCCATCTCGTCCGCCTCTGGCAGCGCGACCCCGAGTATGCATGGGAAACCCCCGAGCCACTGGTTAGAACTTGGAAGCAGCTATATGATGGAGTCACACCTGAGGCCCAGGTCTTCCCTCTGGAGCCTTATATCAGGGGCTCGGCGGCTGGGGGCAGAAAGGAGTAGGCATGCGTGGGATGGTGCTGGATGATCTCATCGCAGGCTAGCAATCTCGCTATTTCTCAGACTTTGCTCGGATACATACTTCGAGAGCGATGTGCAACTTTGTATAGTATGTGCAATCTTGATTGTGGTGATATGCAACCCAGAATGGTAAAGATTCTCTGGTTGTGAAGTATCCAGGGCAGAACATGGGCGAGCTACTGGGCATGTCTTTGAGGACTTTGGTTATAATTTAGCAGATATAGATTGTAGACAACAATTCAACCCTTTGGGGACTATTCATTGGATTATGTTCGTAAATTTCCGGCATCCGTAGGAATGCCGCACTGTCTATGTCACTGGTGGTAATGCCCACGCGGAAATAAGGTCTCGTCTTTCCCATGGTACGGACAAAAATTGCTAGCCCTACAACTTGTTCCAGGCTCCACACTGCATAACTTTTTTCTTAAACGATTCGACTTTTTCTTCCTCTGCGAAGAAACTTTTCTTAAGAAAGAAATTTGTTCTTGTCACAGATCTCAATATCCTTGAATCTCGCCTACAGTCGCAGGCGTTACTTCTGACAGCCCTATCCGGCATTAGCGGCGCTCGACCGCAGTCGCGATAAATCCAGCACATCGCAACTCAAATGCACGAAGCACCCCCATAAATCGAAGCGTACACGCAAGCGAGGACTTCCTATGATCAATGACGGTTAGGGGGAGATCTTTATCTAATCAAGTTTGCCATAGATGGTTCCTTGGTGGCAAATGAGGGGAAAACTCAGTTCCATTGGTCTGCATAAGACCCGTTGAAACATCGACCCAATAACTACAACGGCCCAGATGGTCCAGTGGTTCTCAGCGCCAATCTTCTAGTGGTTAGGATCCAACCTTCCCATTCTCATAGGATTAGGTTGGGACGCGAGTTCGAGTCTCGCTTGGCGCATTTCTTTTTGTTTTTTGTTCAGCTCGGATCTATTAAGGCTGCTGTTCTTACCCTCATGTTCTGGGCTCTTTTTTATTTTCTTTGCAATGTACGTGGGTTATTTATTTTTAATGTCACTGTATACTATACCTAGGCAAGGTGATTAAATCGGATAACGGATGTTGCGTGCATAGGAACATGTGCTGCTCAATAGGTTTTACCTTCCCGTGGTTGGTCTTTCTCTATATATTCGGGTGCCGCTCGTATCACTCTCAATAAACATCCCTTATCATCATCACAAAATGGGGATAGCAGATTATGGTAACGGTTCAGCACCCTTGAGACGTGCATTATCGAATCTAATTGGAGTCACGCCTTGCTATACAGCATAGTCATACTTTATTAGCCACCCTGGTTGCTTTCTCTCCGATCGCACAACCGGCAATCCCTCGATTGAACCTTGAACCTCCCGCCCAACCGTTCAAAGCACGTCCACAAGAATGGCCGGCCAACGAAGCGAACAATGTTCGCATTGCACCAGTGCAGCTTGATTGCACTTCTTTTGCAAGTCTAACAGGAATCTAGAGCACATGTGCAATGTCTTGTGTCTGGTACATGAATCGCAAGTCAGGTCGAGAAGTCGAGCCCCCCCCAGTTATCCATCCCCTTGCGTCCTGTCGCCAACCCAGGCAAGGAATTCCGGACTCTCCGATGCGGCATGCAATCTCATTATCTCCATCATTCTGAGCTCTGCATGTGGCGTCGAATCTGGATTGGAGCCTCTGCCTCACGTGTCGATAATATGGCCTTGCTGCGACAGGGCGTGCAAGGGCTCATCCTGTGGCCGAAGCGTTGCTATCTATATATGTCCCCCAGCCGCACACCATCTGCCCCCCTGGTGTGACATGCGCCATTCAAACCACGGCGAGGAATCAGGCAGCACTAGGGTATATCCTAGCCTCGAGAAGCGGACTGACATGGGTGACTTCTCGCCCCCCCCTTACCAGCTCCTGTCTGAAGCAATCATATTCTGGAGCGTCGCAACCGTGCTATACATTGGCAGGATGTAAGTACTAAGATCTCATATTACGTGGACAGATATGTTCCCTTCACAGAGCCCTTATTGACCTACGAAGAGTTTCCCGTGTCATCTCAACCGGTTCGATCAAGCGCCTATATTGTATGACGCAGCCAGGATTGTCGGGTAGTTGTGAGCACTAATGCGCCTGATACAGTTGAGGACTATGTGATGAGCGTCACGTTTGTAAGGCTGAGGCCCGCGCAAGGATAGAGGAGCAACTGGCTAACTGAATGGTGAGGCAGTTGATCTATACAACGTTGCTGGTTCTGATTCAAGTCTCCGCCCACTATGCGTCTAATCTCTTCGATCCGGCACAATATGATGAGATCATGTCCAACCCACAAGAAGTGCGTGATCGTATCTTTGGGAGCAAGATCGTCATTGGCCTTGAGCAGTGCATGCTATTCTCTACCTGGGGAGTCAAGATTTGCATGTTGACCATGTTCTGGCGGCTCACCCAGAATTTCCGGCTGCTGCGCATGTATGTCAAACTGATAGCCGCCTTAATTGCCGTCGGTTTCCTCGTGATCATGGTCACGTACTATGCCGTCTACTGCCGGCCATTCTCGCAGTACTGGGCCATGCCGGTGCGGGACATGCAATGCGCGACCTACCAGAACTACTCCATTACCCAAGCGGTCTTCAACATCTCCTCCGATGCTGCCATGCTCGCGCTGCCATTTCCTCTACTGCGGAAGGCTCAGATGAGGAGGGGGAAGAAAATCATGCTGGCGGGCGTCATGAGCTTGGGGGTATTCACAATCGCCGCTGCGATTCTCAACAAGGTCTTCAATTTCGCCTCCCCCTTGACAACCACTTATCAACTCTGGTATATACGGGAGGCGAGCACTGCGATTTATGTCGCAAATATGGCATGTCTGTCGCCGCTAATCCGGAGGGTGTTCAGCTCGAAAATGTATCAGAAGACGAACAGATTGCATGGTCAGCATGCCCGTTGGCATGGTATAGATCCTTCCAGCGCATCACGTTCCATGCAAAGCAAGAAAAATCCGAGATGCTGGCACCCAATCCATTTATCTCATGCCTCCGAAGGGAAGTTTGACCAGTGCACCATGAGTATCAGGAAAGCCCTACGAGGATAACCTTGGTAACCGACAAATCAGTGAGGAGGCTATCATCAGAATGGCCGCTGGGTATCCGAACTCGATCCTAGACCCGTATAGAGTCCGTTCCTATCGCTCTCATGAGGACGAAGGTCAATACATGTTCGAGGAGGGAATAGAGCTGAAGCAGATTCATATGGTAGCGTGAAATGCTAACGAGTCATTTACATCGCCTACCAGCCTCAAATTCACTCTGACGCAACAGAAGTGAGACGCATGAGGATATCAAATTTGAAATCAAGAATTTATCCGTCCCGGATCCAGAACACCACGCAACGACGCCTCACGAATCGGGTCTATGTGCTATGCGAAAGCAAACTGCCACTCCCTCTGAAGTGTCCATGGTCAGCTACCTTCTTGCGGCTCACAACATCTAGCGGGAAATCACGGTCTTCACTCACAAATAGTTGGCTGCGCGATCTTGAAGAGGTGTCTCAGAAACGCGGAACGATGTCAGTACGGATCAGAACCGCCTGCGGAACCGTTGGACCTGATCCACCACGAAGCCACCCGGTGCGAGGAGCCCGAGCGTTGCAATAATCAGTCTTGCACAGGGGGCAGCACGCATGGCGGCGGGTTAGCCAAGGATCAAGACAAGACACGTGGAATATATGACCGCACGTCAAAGGACGAATGTAGTCTGGTCCGTGAAACTCATCCATGCAGATAACGCACTCTCTGCTGGAGTCTGCCATGTCGAAGCTCTCCCCTGTACCCGGGGCAGCCTGCATGATGTCAAAACCAGTAGGGGTTGTCTCAACACCACCAGAGACCGGACGAGGTGCATCGGTAGGCATGTCCTCGGAGCGTGGGGCGTCGTTGACCGGGGCGATTTCAATAGCAATGACAGAGGTAGTGTCAGCTGCGACGGAAGCAACCCTCGCCTCGGCGGTCTCCTTCGCGGGCATGCATTTGGTCCTGGCACTGAGCCAGTCACTATACTTCATCTGCGGAAAGCGTTGCTCCACGTCACGGCTGGAGATGACCGCGCGGCTAGAGCCCAAGGGAGCAGTCTCAGCATCGTTGCTGTGCAGGTTTCGGGTACGCTCGCGGCGTCTGACTTCCACGCAGATCCTTTTGTTTTGATGCACCCGAGTTAAAATCCGGTCACCCACTAGAGAAGGAACAAATGACAGATAGAAATATGATCCACATACCAAGCAACAAAAACGAAGAAAGCGAGACAGACGGGGGCCAAGTAGCCGAGAATGGCGGCCGACGAGACGTCAACCATGGCTGATGCTGGGTCACCTTGCATCTGCTTTCTCTAGAGATCAAGCTAATCAGGGTGCGCCTAGTTCGCCATCTCGTGAGCAACCGACAGGACAGGATATTGATCACGGAATCAACCATGAAAGCCATGTACATACCTTGCAACTTGTGAAGCGGTGAGGACGGTCGTTTTCTCCCGGAAAGATAAAGGAATTGTAGATAGATGCTACCAGAGGCGTGATTGTTGTATATGCAACTCACAAAGATCTCTCAAAGCAGTGGAATCAATTTGATAAACACGAAAGAAAAGGGTGGAGACGGATAGCAGATAGTAAGGTAGCTAAGGAGGGCGTGTTGATTCTGGCACCCTAAACCCCCACGCACGACGCAACGCAAATCGCAACGCAAATCAGATGATAAACCCCTATGGTCGAGCGTACATACCGACCCGGCAGTTTGAGTGCAAGACGAGTGAGAGTGAGTGCGTAGCAGCACAACCTGTGCTGGAAAAATCGGTTAGAACCCTCTCAGCCCCTCCTCTTCCTCATGGATACAAGACATTGAGAATTCCCCAGCGTGCTCTTTTTTGTCCGTTGCAGAAGCAGATAAGGAAGAGAAAGAAGCCGTGTAGGTACAAAAGGCAGGGAAATCCGGCATTATGTCCCTTTCCCATCCAAATGACGAAACTCTGACTGTGCAGAGGAGGACTACTACCACTTGAACCCCCAAAAGCTCCGCCCACCGCTCGCTTTCAGCGCCTCTCCAGAGAGGCGGGAGGGGACAGGTTGTCCTTTATGCAATTGATCTTCCTCGGAGAGAATTTTACATGCTTCTATAGAAAAGGCTATCCACGGTTTTACTAAGTATTATGCTATGGTGCAGATGGATAGATCGGTGGGAGTTGGCAGTGCATGCATACCTTACTAGTAGCGGGAAGTTTGGGGAAGTATAAAGTCAGTAAAGTTAAGCGACATCAAGTTTGGATGATTTCTTTCTCTCCCCAGCGATTGTTTGTATCGTTTGCGAGTCGGTCGATTTTGTTCATTGGTCGAGTACGCGATAAGACAATTTCATCCACCCTGGTGCTATAAATAAGCCCTGCTCTGTGCGCGTAAATGCGAGCTGAAGAGACCGGGCAGATGGACATATGTTCCTAATCCAGATCGCCAGCATAAACTATGTTTTACTTTTCACCCAAACAGGATCTTCTTTATTTCTTTATTTTTTTTTTTCTTAAAGAAAAATCGGTCACAGACTTCTTTGTGGCTGTGACAATAGAACTAAGGCATGAGGTACATGGAATAACAGTGAAAAATGCAGAGCTGCTGCACTGCATCCATCTAGCATGGGAGGAAGGCTGTGGCTGGCTAGTCTGGGCAATGAGCAAGAGACCGGTGTAGATTGATGCAGCCAAGGCGGTTTGTGCTTATCTGTGGCAGCAGGGTCCACTACTTCAGAAATAATATATGTGATGTATATGTATGTATGGAAGCCAAGAGGTCTTTCTAACCGTGCTTAGAAAACAAGGAATGGTTTGAACTGATCTGGACAGTGTTGTAGATATGGATGCTTCTGCTGATTTCTAATCGGGCGGGAAGAACGCTCCTGTCTTCACACTGCTTGGTTTCACTCCCGGAAACTAGGTATTGATTTACTCTCTCCATCCATAGAAGAGAAGCTGGCGCTTCCGTCGCCTTGTGCATGGCGCATGGTTTGGTCTTGAAGTGTGGATTATCCCAGGTTCTAGGATAGTCGCCTTCCGAGTTAGACTTGATGATGATGTTTTGACGTATCATGCATCAGTCAAGCATAAGTATCATAACAAGCCCGGGTGGTCTAGTGGTATGATTCTCGCTTAGGGATTCCAAACCCAAGCATATCTGCGAGAGGTCCCGCGTTCGATCCGCGGCTCGGGCCGTTATTCTTTTTTGCCTTGTCAACTTTTGTTCTCTCTGGCTATATTTTTTTTCTACGAAGAGCGCTGCTTTTCTTCATCTACATCCGATGCAACGAGAAGGATCTAGATCCACTACCCCCATTGGGCGCAAATCACCCGTCATAAGCCTTGATTGAATATACCTAAAGATGTGGAACTTCTTTCGTTACTCAGTCCCCGGACCATAGTACAAAACCTCCTCCTAATCTGAGTATTCAGATACACAAAGGCACCGAAAACGACATAACACTAGGATAGTGAATCAGACGAAAACCAGAGGCAAAAACAATAAATCTTGATCTTTTCCCATCCTCCGCCAGAGACACAAAAGCAACCAACCCCCCCCTGACGCATAGAAAGATATGGGTGTATAATATAGGACCTAAGATAAATAGATACCCCGCGGACATAATAAAACAAAAGAAAAAAAGAAAAAAAAAAAAAAAAAAACGCCTTCGCTATGCAAAAAAAAACAAGAAAAGGTTCAATTTTCAACCTGTATTCCTCCGCATCGCCTCATGTGTCTCCACCCGAATATCGAACAACAGGTCGTCAATCTCCTTGAGGGACTGGCGGTCCAGCTTGGCCAATTTGACGTCGTCAAGGACCTTGCGGAGAGAGTTAGCGATTTCCGCCTCGGACTTGACCGGGACCGGTTCGGTTGGGGCCTCGGTTTCTGCTTGAGCAGTGGCAGCGCGGGATGAGGCGCGGGTTTTCTTCTTTTTCTTCTCCGAGTGCCTCTCCCGGCTCGAAGATGGTGTCTTCTGCGGCTCGGGAGCGGTTTCTGCCGTTGGGTGCGCATCGGTCATCTGGATGTCGTTGTCCGCCGAGGGCTGCAGATTGTCAGCAGGCGCTGGCTGGATCGTCGAGGCGACTTCCTCCTGAGCTTCGAGCGCAGGTTGCACCGACTCCTCAGGCTCGCGTGTCTCCGGGTCTACCTCGGGAACCACCGTAGCATCGGAAGCCTTCTGGACATCGTCGAGGTAGTCGGACGCGTTTTCATGCGCTGGCTCCCTTGGCCCGTCGTCTGCCGTAGTCTCCTGTGAATCACTCTCCTCCTGTATAGTTTCCGTGTCCTTGTCTTTGTCCTGCTTGCGTGGACGAGAGGGCCGCGGCGATTTCTTCGACTTCTTTTGAATGGGGCTCTCCTCGGGTATAGGCGGCGCAGCTTGGCCACTTAGGCGAGAAGACCTTCTCTTCTGTGACTTGTCTTGACTTTCAGAAGGCTTGTCTTTCAAGCTGACAGGCTCTGATGTTTGGCTGTTAGCGGCCGATCTAGTCGTGCTGATAGCCTCAGATCTGGTGTCATGTTTCCGTCGCTTGGGTGCAGACTCAACAGGCGACGACTCAAGGTCTTGCGGGGTTGGCAAGATTTCGTTGAGTTGAGCCACATCGGCTTCGTCTTCAGCCGCAGCGGGCGTCTTTGTGAGTCGAGAAGAGCGCCGTCTTTCCTTCTTTTGAGGCGTGTGCTCTTCCATCTCCCGTTTTCTCTTCCTTGACGGTTGGGGTTCATGCGAAGCTTCCATCGATGCTTCACCTCCCGCAACATCATCTTTATCTACGGCAAGCTCCAGATCTTGCTCCAATTGGGATGACACCTGGTCTTCCATATCAACATCATCATTGCACAAGCCGGAGTCACCGCTGGGTTGTTCCACCTGCGACTCGATGACTTCGACATTTTGAGGCAAGTCCTTCTCCACTTCGGGCCCAGTCTTCGAATCGACGGCGTTGGCCGAGGCGGAGGCCCTCGTGGAGAGCGTATGACGTGTCTCCTTATTCGATTCTGTGGCAGTTTCTGTATGTTGCTTCTCGGTTGTGGATTGCAGAGGAGAATCAGAGGTCTTGCCAGTAGAAGAGCGGAGGCGTTTAGTCATAGGCTGGTCTGCGACCTCGCTTGGAGCGTCCTGAGTGACGTGCTCAGTCTGGTTGAGCTCAGACTTTGACTTCTTCTTGAGCTTGGCGGAGCGTTTGGCCTTCTTCTTCGCCTTCTTGCTCTTACCCGGTGTGGTCGTGGGTGTCTCAAGATCAACGGGTGTCTCGTTACTAGGATAGGAGCCAGGAGTAAGCGAGTGAAGATCTGCGGAAAGTGAAGTGAGTTCTGGAGGTGATGATCGCGGCTCGGTCTCCAACAAGGAGGCCTCTGGCGCAGATGTTGGGGGTGGCGGCACATGTGAGTCGCTCAACTGCGCCCGGCCTCTTGAAACTGGAGTCGGTGACGAGCCAAGGTAGTTATATTCGTTTTCTGCCGACACAGGCGGCAAAGGAGGTGTTTGCGGGGTCCCTGCATCTGTATCCGAGTGATGCAGGTGGCGCAAGTGCGGCGGTGTCATAAAATGGATATCTCTAGGTGTATTGCTCGGTGGGGAAGAAGACCGGAGGCTTTCAATCATCGAGAACAACTCGCTGCGCTTGCTACCGTCTTCTGGGCCTGATATGAAAGGATCTGGGTGAGACACAGCAACATGTTGCTCAACACTCTGATTGTCAGCTTCGAAAGCTCGTTCCCGATGAAGCTCCTTTGCGCGCTCTCGTGTGACTGCGCGGTCTGAGCCCCCGGTTACAGGCGACGAGTTCAAGCCCGAGTCGACCGGATTGTCTAGGATGAAAGAGATCCGTGACTTGGCTGACATGTCCAAAAAGCGGTTTTTGGTTTCCTGTTCGTCGGAAGTACTCATCGGAGCGCCAGGCTTCGAAGGATTAGCATGAGTTGGCTATGGCTCGTTATAACATGACATACCTTCGATTCTTCCAAAGGTGTGGTGGCCTGCTGATGCTTGATGAGAGCTTCCAAGCTCTCCAGCGCAAGGGTTATCCTTTCAGGGCGGGACAGAAATCTCTGTGAACCGAAGGTAGAATTCCAGAAGTCATAAAATCTTCTTCTTACTGATATGTGTGAAGAATCTAGACCCGCGTAAATGATATCTTCAAACTTTTGCAGGAAAGGGGCATTGTGGGGGGAAGATGCCTGTAGGATATTGAGAACAGCCGATGAGAGTGCGCGACACTATGTAAGGGTTAGAGTATGTCCGAAACTCCTTGCTTCTGACACTTACTGCAGTGAGAATCCTGCTCTCCACACCACT